TAGCATTTTACCAGCCAACACCACGCCATGGGCTCATCGGCTGTCTTCTTCATCTTTTGGCTCTCTTGTCCCACCTTTCCAGATTTTCTTCCCCAAAGTTGACATCAGCAGCCAACCAACATGTGTGCTTTCCTTTGGAAACACAGTAAGAGGCCATGCAAACTTCTGCATATTTGACCCTTCTCAGTAAGTTCCCACGAAACCGGGTCCCTGGTTTGGGTTCCCCACGACATAACTGACTCACAGAGATCCACCTGCTTCTGCCTCCCAAGTGCTGGCATTAAAACTGTGCACCACCACCAGCCCATGACATAACAGAGAAAACGGGGTGCACCTATCACAAGTTTACACCATCATGGCTGTAAAAATTTCCACCATGCAACAACCCAATTATTTTTCCCCCCAAGACAGGGCTTCTCTGTGTAGCGCTGGCTGTCTTGGAACTTGCTCACTCGCTCGACCAGGCTGGCCTTGAACTCAGAGATCTGCCTGCTTCTGTCTCCCAAGTGCTGGGATCAAAGGCATGTGCCACCACCAGTGGGCTCAACCCAGTTCTTTAAAAAGATAAAAAATTAAAAACCAGTGTAATAGGCTCAGAAAATCAACCTATTATCTGGTGTTGAATGCCACTAAAATAGAATTCTTTAAAAAAAATATTAGGTTCTCAATCATGTAAAAAGATTCTGAGTAACATTATTAAAAACAGCTCTGGGGCTGGAGAGATGGCTCAGGGGCTTAGAGCACTTGTTGCTCTTGCAGAAGACCTAGGTTTGATTTCCAGTTTCCACAGAGATAGAAATAAATGTGGAAAAAATGACTCACACCCATCTGGAAGGCCAGTTTCTGGGGATCTAACAGCCTTTTCTGGCTTCTAACAGCACCAGACACGTACAGATATGCCAAAAAAATCCATACATACAAAAACCCTAGCTTTGACAGGTAGGGCATGGTGGAGCACATCTTTAATCCCAGAACTCAGGAGATTCCAGACCAGCCTGGTTTACTGAGTAAGTTCCAGGCCAGACCAAGAGGCACAGTGAGACCCTGTCTCAAAAGCGAACACCAAGAAGCTCTGATAAAGGTGGCCACTACCACATAGGGAAGGTTCAAGGCATTTAGTATGCACAGAGGTGGGACACAATACGGCTTTTCTCTGTGACACCCGAAGACACAAATAAAGGACACTGGACACTTGATTCTACTTTTCTAGCCGAGGTCCAAGGGATGGTAACACAGCTCTGTATAACCATTCATGCAAGGATTTCCTTTCATAGAGGCATGGGTGGGACATTAGAATTCCAAGCCTTTATCATTAGGGATCACTAAATCTACCGTCTAGGTTTTTCTCTCCACTGGTAAGTTTACAATACGTATTTAGTTAGCCCCGAATATCATAGTCTTTAATAAATGAATCCAAAGGAATGAAAATAAGCTTACCTAGAGGACAAGGTCTGATCAAATACACTTCTGATCGTGTCTTGGCAGACTCTCCTGGCTCCACCTTTCCTATGTAGACGTGGGTTCTAAGAACTGCCTGTTTGCACGTCTATCAGCATCTGTTTACCGAATGGGCGTGCCTTGAGTTCACTTCTGCAGAAGCACAGAGGAGCGGGCACCACCACCCATTCATTTTCCTCTGGCCTGGGAGACGCTAGCTTGCTGTTATGGTTGATTTCTAACTCTACCGCATTGTAATTAGTAACTACAGCCTGCACGACACCAAACTTGCAGGGATGTAAGATGACTTTTGTATTGTTTGTGGTATAGCCCAGCTAAGCACTTTGTGGTGGTCTGAATGATCCCCCAGAAGCTCATATTGGAATGTCGGGTTCCCAGCTGGTGGACAGTTTAGAAAGGATCAGGAGGCGTGGTCTTGTTGGAGGAGGCTCTGAGGTATCAAGAGCCCACTCCAGGCCCAGTCCTGGGTTCTCTCTCTACCTGCAACTTGTGGATCAGACATAAGGGTCCTCTGCAAAAGCAGCCAGTGCTCTTAACCACTGACCCGCCTCTCCAGTCCTGGGAAGGCAGACCTTCAAAGGGTGGTATTATGGAACCTTTCAACACATCGGTTTCAAGTTGGATCATCTTTCCCCATAATTTTCACATGAAAGTGCTAAGTTGCAGTATCTCAGGATGGAACCTTTTTCATAGATAGAACTTCCAATGGACGCAGTCAGGGGTTAAAAGAGATTCAAAGAATGGGCCCAAAACCAGTATAGCCATTGTCTTTCTAAGAAAGAGGAATCTCAGTTGATGAGATGGATTGCCACCTCAAACTTGAGGACCTGAGTACCAACCCCAGCACTCATGTAAAACGTGGGCATGGGGGCAGGCAGCTGTAATCCCAGCACTGTGGAAGCAGAGACAGGGTTTGCAGGTCAGCCAGCATTGCTGGGCTCCATGGGAAACCTTGTCTCAATACAGAAGGTGAAAGCGAGGTGGTGGTGGTGCATGCTTTTAATCCCAGCAGGGATTAACTGGGAGGCAGAGGCAGGTGGATCTTTGTGAGTTCAAGGCCAGCCTGGTCTTCAGAACAGCCAGCGTTGCACAGAGATACCCTGCCAAAAACCAAACGACCCAACAAAAGAAAAGGTGGAAACCATAGAGGAGGACATCTGAGGTCACCTACCGACCTCCACACGGACCAGTACTGGAACACATACACACAGAGGCAGTTTGGTCTCCAACACGCACGGAAGGAAGACAACATGGAGAGGCATGGAGAGAGGGCAGGAATGGATTCTCCCTTGAAATGAAGACATTGACAAGTTGGAGAGCCACCGGCACCAAACTGCCCCGAAGTGGAGAGACTGATGTAAGAGACCTTTCCCATTACTCAGCGCTTCCCTCCTCCAGGCTCTGAGACACGGGTCTGCACTTTCAACCCCAACTCAATTAACCGTTTCATTAGCTAGAAACTAGCTTGGCAGATCTAGGAACCACTCTAAGAACAAACAAGAACAGTCGCAAACCATACCTGAGGCAGGAGAGGAGAACCCGGTGTGTTTTTTTCTAAACCCTTTAGCCTGAAGCTGCCAAGGCACCAACAACTGACAACTTGGGATCACACCTCCCCATCTACAAGGTCACTTTTTGTCTAATGTCATGACAAAGAGAAACGACAAAGGCTAAAATAGCCTACTTGGGAACATTTCCCCAGAGAATCTCTTGAAAAGCCTTCTATCCTACCCGATTTTCAAGTCAAGCTTCTCCACAGAAAGCCACAATCCGGCTAATGAGTCTCAGCTGCTCGTCATACGGCCAGGCGAAGCAGTCAAGTGATTTCCCCGGGGTCAGTCCAGCCGGCGCTCTCACACAGAGCAAGCTGACTGCTAACGGCACCCAGGCTTTGGGGGCAGTGCCTCCACTCTTACTTCCCCCTCCATCATGGAGGCACATGTGGTTTCTTACTGTGATTTCTCTACAGAGGCAAAGCTTGATCCAAACAGACAGCAGGGGAGAGCACATGCAAGTGACTGGCCAGAGAAACGGAGCTCCACCTGCACTGGCCCGCTCCCAGACACCCACTAGCACCCCGAAGTCATCATGTTCTGCCTTCAGCGTGCCTACCTTGCCCTCTGTTGCTCCGGTAGGCCTTTCCCCTCCCTGAGTCTTCAGTAACTTCAGTAACTACAGCTCCGCCCGCCCTCTCCTCTCACATTTCCATTGGTCACATCTTCCCTAGTCTCGTCCCTATTCCATTAAAAAAAAAAAAAAAATTCTGGTCTGGATGACCGTGACAAAACGCTTATTTGGTGTTCTGGCTGCAAATGTGGCCACACCTCTGACCCAAGCCCCTCATAATACGCAAACTGTTCTTTCCACAAGACAAATTAGAGGCCAGAACTCTCCTCCATAAAGTCTGTGAAGGGAGGCTGGAGAGAAGACCCTGCAGTTCAGGGCACCCACTGTTCTTGCAGAGGTTGGGGGCTGTTGTGTGGGTCCTGGGAATTGAATCCGGGTCCTCTGCAACCGTAGTATGGGCTTTAATACATAAGACCAAAGCAAATAAATTATTTAAAAATTTTGTTTAGTTGTATACGTGTGTGGTTTTGTCTTTACGTGTACCATGTGTGTGCAGGTGCCTGAGGATCTCCTAGAACTGGAATTACAAGTGGTTTTGAGTGTCCTGATATGAAGTGAACCCAGGTCCTCTACAAGAGCAGCAAGTGCTCTTAACCCCTGAGCCATCTCTCCAGGCCCCAATAAATAAATATGGCATACACATTAACAAAATGGACAAAGACAACAAGATCATCAAGATATTTGACAACAAAACAAAAACTTTAAGGGGTTGGAGAGATGGCTCAGTGAGCGGTTAAGAGCAGTGACTGCTCTTTCAAAGGACCTGGGTTCAATCCCCAGCATCCACATGGCAGCTCACAACTGTCTGTAACTCCAGTTCCGGGGAATCTGACACCCTCACACACACATACGTGCACGTAAAATAAAAATACATAAATCATTTAAAAATATTTTTGACAAAGATCAACCTTTTTATGACAAAAGTTGTCAACAAATCAGGTACAGGAGAATTCCCCATGCCACAGCCAGGGACACATGTGACGAAGTCACAGCCTACATCATTGTCACTGCCGAGCTGCTGAAAGCCTTCCTCAGACCAAGGCCAAGACAGATGCTCACACTCATCACCCTTCAGCGTGGTCCTAAAGGTCACAGCTGGAGTAACCAGGTACAAGAGAGGAACTAGAGCATCCCAGTAAGAAACGACAGAGGGGGCTGAGGACAGAGCTCACAGTGGAGTGCTCGCGCTGAGTTCAAGTCCCAGTATCAAAAATGCTAATAAGTTAAATAATAGCTCTTCACTGGCAATATGAACCTATCTATAGAGAATGCTAAAGATTCCACACATGCTCCTGCACATACACACACATATATGCACACATGTTCGCGCACACACACATACATACATGTTCACACACACACAGGCACACTCCTATGGAATCAACCGAACAGGAAGATGGAAACGGGACGTGGCGATGCACAGTTATGATCACAGTACTCAGAGCCTGAGGTGAGAGGACTGCACAAGTTCCAGGCTGGCCCGAGCTGCATAGTAAGACCCTGTCCCAAAAAACAAAAAAGAAAAAAAAGGAAAGAAAAAGAAAAAGAAAGTGGGATTACACTTCCTAATTTCAAACTATTACAAAGCTACAGTGATCAAAACAGTAAGGTGCTGCCATGGAAACGCACACATGCGTGGCGCAGAACGGAGAGCTTAGGAATAAACTCACACATACAGTTACTTAATTTTCTTTTTTGTTTTTTGAGACAGAGTTTCTCTGTGTAGGCCTAGCTGTCCTGGAACTCATTCTGTAGACCAGGCTGGCCTCAAATTCACAGAGATCTGCCTGCCTCTGCCTCCTGAGTGCTGGGATTAGATGCCCAGCTGGTTACTTAGTTTTCAATGAGAGAGTCAAGAACACATAACGGAAACAGATTAGAGACTCCTCATTAGAGTAAATTGGCTATCCACAGGCACGAGAGGAAAACGAGACATCCTACACAAACATCAACTCGATGCAACAGTCTTTCCTTCCTCCCGACAGCTCCTATTCTAGTCTAGCAGCACATGGTCCACAGCATTCAAATAAGAACTCAGATAAATCAGTTAAAGATTCAGCTTCCAGTATCATCACCACTGATGCCACGTTTGCCAACGCTCTCCCCAAAATCAAACCACATTCGTACCTCAGTGTCCACCAAAATGTTCAGCATAGCTCCCCTTAACTAAGAGCTGTCTGAAGCTACCAGTTTTAGCACTTTGGATTATTTTATTTTTTCATGCTCTGAATAGCTTTAGGGAGCTCAGCAGAGGTCATTGAAACCAGTGCCAAAATGTGGCCAACCCAGACTTCGATTAAATCCCAGCAGAGTTTACCAGCTCCAGGCCTTCCTGTCAAGGTTATGGATGAACTGGGTCATGGTCTAATGTGCAAAGTCCATTGTCCCAACCAGTGGCCGAATCTGGAATAAAGCCTTAAAGGAGAAGCCTGAAAATGTAAAACTCCTAGAAGAAACCAGCAAAAACCAGAAAAGCATGGAAGTAAAGTCTGTAGTGGCAGAAGGATTGCAAGGCCACTCTAGCCTGCATAGCCAGTCCCAGGCCAGGCTACACATTGAGAAACCCTGCTTCAATATAAAACCAAGCCAAAACCTCTAATGTGACTATCTGTAGAGTGGAAAGGGACAGACGTTGCACATGTGTGGGAGAGGTGTTGGGGAAAATGAACCAACCACTCTTATTCCACAATCGAGTGTCAAGAGACAACACCTAAACATGAAAAGAAATGGGCACGGAAATATGTGTGTCATTCAGAGCCTAGGCGTGTGAGGACCTGCAAGGTCAGCAGGCTGAGTGACGTGGAGCTGGAAACGGCTGGGGGTGGAGAGCCTGCCTGCTGGGTTTTTGTTTTTGCTTCTGTTTTAATAATAAGCCTTGACTGGCAGCTGTGTACACCTTTAATCCCAGCACTCGGGAGGCAGAGGCAGGTAAATCTCTGTGAGTTTGAGGCCAGCCTGGTCTACAGAGAGAGTTCCAGGACAATCAAGGCTGTTTCACAGAGAAACCCTGTCTCAAAAAAAAACAAATAATAACCAGGCGGTGGTGGCTCATGCCTTTAATCCCAACACTCGAGAAGCAGGCAGATCTCAAGGATCTCTTGTGAGTTCGAGGCCAGCTTGGTCTATAGAGCTAGTTCCAGGACGAGCTCCAAAGCTACAGAGAAACCCTGTCTCGAAAAACTAACTAAGTAAATAATATAATAATAGTAATACTAATAAGCTTTATAGAACAATATTTTATGTAACCTTGATTTAAAAATTAATTAATGCAGATAAAAATGTGGTTGTTTTTCTTGAGTGATCCAGGACATCACAATAGACCTTCTGAACTGGCCACACTGTCTCTAGGATTGAGGACACAAGGCCCTGGACTCTGGGGAGGGACTGACTGTGCAAACCACTCCAGCTGTGGAGCTTCGAGAAAATCACCCCCATTTCTGCCCCGCTGGCCCCTTTGTGAAACCAGAAAAGAAACAGGATTACGTTAGAAGAACTGAATTATGCAATGCCTCTAAAGTACTTAAAGCTGTTTGTGGAGACAGCAAGATGGCTCACTGGGTATGGGCGCCAGGACTGAGACCTGAGTTTGATCCCCGGAAACCACATGAAGGAAGAAGAAAATCAACTTTTTCATGCATGCGCTGTGGCACAAAAGAAACAGCACACACACACACACACACACACATACACACACACACTTACACAAGTAAAGAAACAGTGCTCTTTTTTAAAAAAAGCTGTTTGGCCTGGGGTATATGATTAGTGACAGCCATTGCCACAAAAGCTAATTTGCCTCATTAATAAATAGCTCCTGCTGACTGTGTTGCTTTTCGCGTCTTTTATTAGTTTGTATTTCATTTTCCCTGCCCCATCCATGCTGTCAATCAGACAGCTGTCCCTCAACACAGTCATCGATGTGCCTTTTAGAACAAGTTCTGGCGTCTTTCAGTGCACTTCTCCTTAGTGATGAGGCATGGGGACACCAACCAGTGAAGGAGACTGAGCAGTGTGTGGCACAGAAGGAAAAGGGCACTGACATATGGCCCAGAAGTCTTGACTACAGCAGGCTGGCAAGTTTTGCTATACCAATCATCTGGGCGACTGAACAGAACCCTGGAGGCTGATTTCCTTACCGTCACCCGTCGGTCAGGAGGTTGCTGACATGGTGACCAACTCTCCCAGTTTGCCAGAGACCATCGGAGTTAAGGCCCTGAAAGGCCTACAACCCTAGTAACTGGGTCTCTGGCCTGGATCTTATCAACTGTAAAACCGATGCCCACTACTGTTTTGAAAAGCCGCTGAAGACTAGGGACAGTGTTTCCATAATTCTGTATGTATGATAGCTCCCAGTGGGAGGCACGCTAACTTTGGCTGAAGAAGCATTCTTAGCAAGGAGTAGGCAAAGTGCTCTAAGCACAAATGCCTTCCTGGAAGCAAGGTTGTGGCTTCTTTTTTCTTTCTTTCTTTTTGGCTTTGGTGGTTTTGAGACAGGATCTCACTATACATCCCTGGCTGGCCTGGAACTCACCAAGCTAGCTTCAAATTCAAAGACAGCCACCTGCCTCTACCTCCCAAATGCTGGGATTAAAGGCCTGCACCATCACATCCCTCCAATGCTGGGGTTTTGTGTGTGTGTGTGTGTGTGTGTGTGTGTGTGAAATTTTCTTCATTTCTGCCTTATACAATTCGTGTCAGGATTAAGACATACTTAAAAATTTAATAGTTGGGAACTGGAGAGATGGCTCAATGATAAAAAGCACTGGCCGCCCTTGCAGAGGACCTGGGTTCATTTCCCAGCAACCACATGGTGATTCACAGCCATCTGTAACTCCAATTCAAGGGGGTCCAACACCCTTTTCTGGCCTCTGAAGGCACTGGTACATGGACACACACGGTACATGGACATACATGCAGGCACACACTCATTACAAATAAATCTTTTAAGAAATTTTAATAGTTCAACAACATTAACCACTCTCCTCTACAAAGGCTAGTGCCAACTCTGTTTTCATACAGATTAGCCTTTGCCCACCGTGAGAGCTCTGAAGGAGTGTGTGTGTGCGTGTGCTGCTTATCAAGAGTTGTGCGCCTAAGTTTTTCAGCTTACTGCATTTCCATTTATCTATCTTGTATGCATGTGTGTGCAGGTGTCTGTGTGGTTGCCCACACCACAGCCTCCCTGTGGAGGAAGAGGAGAGTTTTAGAGAGTTGGTTCTTTTCTTCTACCGTGTAGGACTCAGGGATTAAACTCAGGTGCTCAGGATTGGCAGCAGGCACCTTTGCCCACTGAGTCGTCTCCTCAGCATCTTGTTTCGTCTTCGTTTTTAGATGAGATGGTGTCTCTCACTGACTGGCCACTTACAGGTTTGACTCAGCTGGGTGGCCAGCAAACTCCATCTTTGTTTTCTCGGTGCTGGGATTATTACGCACACCACACAGCACCTGGCTTGGTTGTTTGTTTGTTTGTTTTGTTTTGAAACAGGGTTTCTCTGTATAGCCCTGGCTGTCATCGAATTCATGCTGTAGACCAGGCTGGCCGTAAACTCAAGAGTTCTGCTTACCTCTGCCTCCGAGTGCTGGAATTAAAGGCATATTCCACCATGACCAGCAACACATCTGGCTTTTTTATGTGGTTCCAGGGATTGAACTCAGGTCCTTATATCTGTGCAATAAGCACTTTAGGGATTGGGCATGACCCTAGAAATGCCTGGGGTGTTTATTGTAGTAAGAAATGGATAGACACATACACGAAGGATGTCAGGCACCACGCCTGAAGTCTGTTTTCAGTGCGTGTCTTACTGTCCTCCTTCATAGCGGTGCCAAGTCATTTAGTGCCCCACTGGGCTGCCAAATGACTCACTATGTCAACCCCATCTGAAAAATAAGGGCTCTTATCATCGAGTACATGAAACCCATTTCTGACCTCAAAGCTGAAGCAATTCACTATTCCATAGATGTTAACTGCGGTTCGCAGGAAGTTGCTCACATCTGAACTCCCCCCACACACATGGACAACGTTGCCATAGGAAAGGTTACAAAACTGGGCGGGGGGGGGGAGTAACAGAAATGATCACAAGTTGCTCAAAACCAACACACAGGCTGGCAGCCTTGAAGAGGCAGCCAAGCCACAGAAGCATCCAGGCGCCCGAGACTTCGTTACAGAAGCCCCCATTCGCTTTCATATGTCTTCCCAGACAGCATCCAAGACCTCTGAGTACCACAAGACCTCCAGAAGCCTGGAGGGTGGTCTGTTCCAACCAGCCAGGGGAGGCGGCAGCTCCAGACATACATTCCCAAGTACAGTCTGATGACCAAGGGAAGATCCCTCTGGGACTTTGATGAAGACCCCAAGCTCCGAGCCCCACCTGGGCTTCTGAATGAGGATCCATCCCTTCCAGGGAGACCTAGAGAGTCCGCATTGATGACGAGCTCTCCAGGGACTCCCTGGTGCTGCCTAAAGTTTGAGAGCCACTGTGCTAGGAAGACAACAGATAGCCAAATGCAGAGCCATGACTGGGTGAGAAGTCTGTAGGTGAAGGCCATGTTCAACCTCTACCACCCCCAGGTCCCGAATCTGTAAGACAGATCACAGTATCTACCAAGCAGAATGACGGGGAAAGCAAAATAGCAACTAAGTGCTCCCAGCCCAGAGCCTCGCCCAGGGCAGGCGCTGGGCAGGAATTGTGTGTTCTCCACCTGGTGTGGTAGTCTAAGAAAAGATCCTAAGGACAGCTCAGGTTTTAAATAAGCGTTCCAAAGCAAACCAGATGGCTTGCTTAATAAACTAGGGCTTCCAGGCTAGTGAGTCACCAACTGCAAAAGCCAGGGTCAGCAGTGTTAAGGAACGATTGGGCTATGAACCGGAGACAATAGCTCTTCAGCTTTGTGGTCACCAGGGTGCCAGAGCAGTTTTGAAATACAGGCTTTGGGCTGACCAGTTTCAGATCCAGCAGGTCTGGAGTAGGGCTGTGAATTCGCCTTTCTAGCACATTCCCAGGTGGGGTTCACATTGCTGGGGTCAGACGAATACTTGGGTTTTCACCGTTATAGAGGGCTTTACTCTACAGCCCCACGTCTAATATCTAATTCACGGGGCACTGCGTACCAGAAAGGAAAGATGTGCCTGTGGGCTTCCTGTTTGACACCAGCCTGGTTAGCGACAAACAAACAGAGCAAAAAGCAATGAGCCAACAACTTTTGAGGCTGCGTGTGCTGCCTCTGCCCTGAGAATCTCCCTTATTGTTTTCTGAATGAGGCAGAGCTGGGGCTCCATGTCCCTGGTTCACATTCTCTGACCCTTAAGTTAGTACCTCAGAGTAGAGGAGTGTATCAGTGGCTCCCAGAGCCTGCTGGGAAGTATTTTAAAGAAAACTCGATTCCGTTGGGCTGGAGAGACAGTTCAGTGATTAAGAACATACGCTATTTTGAAGAGGACTGGGTTTCATTCCCATCACCCACACCTGAAGGCATGCTTCATAAGATGAGGCTGCCATGGCAACAAGTCACCAACTGTAAAAGCCAAGGTCAGCAGTGTGAGGGGAAGACTGGCTCACAACCCTCAGTAACTCTAGTCCTAGGGGATCCAATACCCTCTTCCGGTCTCCTGGCTGAGGCACTGGATAGACATGATGCCCATCCATTCATGCAGGCCAAACACTAATACACATTAAATAGACAAATAAAAAATCACGACTTCCTCAGACCTAACCTCACACCTAACAGATTACAATCTCCAAACGAGACACAAAGTATGCTGCTTCTTAAGGTGTGTTTAAAGAAACGACCGAAACGCCTCCTGTGACTTAACATGCTAATCTGATTCCCAGCAGCATCACGGCTCTGGGGGGTTTGGTTCTCTGTCCTTACATGAGTCAGTGTTCACAGCAGCCTTCTCTTTCTGTGTTTGCTTCCTAGAGAGGTGGTGGTGGTGGTGGTTGTCATTGTTTAGGAGAAACACCTGCACTGGGGTTATTTTTTTTAAGGGGACCTGGACGATGGCTCAGTGGTTCAGAGCACTGGTTGTTCTTGCAGGACCTGGATTCAATTCCCTGCACCCACATGGTGGCTCACAACCATATGTAACTCCAGTTTCAGGGGATCCAATGCCTGCTCTGACTTCCTGTGGACACAGGCTGAACATTCACACACATGAAAAGTAATAGACTCTGAAAAGGAAATTCGTCTCTTTAATAGTTCTATTTCCTGCCAGGCAGTAGTGGTGCATGCCTTTGATCTCCGTGAGTTCGAGGCCAGCCTGGTCTGCAGAATGAGATCCAGGACAGTCAGGGCTACACAGTGAAACCCTGTCTCAAAAAACACAAACAGAAAAACAAAAACCAGTTCCATTTTCTCTATATTACTAAACTGGTATTTTGGATTAGATTTTTAGAGAGAGTTCAGGCGCTACAGAGATGGCTCAGTGGCTAAGAGCACTTGCTGCTTCTGCAGAGGACCTAGATTTGATTCTCAGCACCCACATGTGGGCTCACAACCACCTTTAACACCAGATCCAGGAACTCTGACACCGTCTTCCGGCCTCTGAGGGCACCAGGCACGCAAGTGGTGTGCAGACATACATGCAGGCACTCACACATAGGCATCAAATAAAAAAAAATGTAGACAAGGAAAATGGAAGCAGGCTTCTCTAGCTCCCTGTTTGTTCGCCTATTCATTATCAGCTTAGCACTCACCGTCTTCTAGGTATTTTCTAGGTAGTCAGCCACAGCTGCTCCCAGAGAGAACTGTGCTCACAGAGGGCGAATGTCAGCAGGAAGAGACAGGCCGAAAGTAAGATAAACAAAAACAAAACGATTTTATCTAGCAATGGATGTTATGGAGACAGACGCACACGGACAGCGTGACGTGGGCAGAGATAACTCCTAACAGAAGACCTCTGCAGGCTGACAGAAAATTCACTATGAAGGATCAATAGAGCCATCGCGACAGACACCGGAAGTCTCCCGGGCAGTTTTCGTGTAAACCAAGACCATAATATACTTGGTCATTTCAGACAGCTTCAAGGAAGATCCTTAGTGGTTAGTAAAATTCCATCTGAAGGTCACTCTCGGGGTTGGCAAGACAGCCCCACTGCCAGCGTTCTCGCCCCGCTTGAGTTCAGTTCCCAATACACCGGGAAGTAAAGACAGCTGCTATATAGGGATTTCTAGGACAGTTAGGGGCATGTGATAGTCCATCTCTAAATAAATACATACATACATAAGTAATAAACGTCACTTCTTTGAAGCACTCAAACAGCCTGATTTTGAATTGCCTGATGAAATAGCAGCCTAGAGGTGGCAAAAAGTTCCTCCCGGAACCCTCCCTGCTGTCAACCACCCAGTAGTATGAGACCTAGCTCCAGACCTAGGAGGTTGAGGGGAAACCACATGATTTCCAAGGCCCCTTCCAACCAGATCTAAAGTTACACAATTCCGTCAGTGTAACCAACGAGGTTTCCTTATCTGGGTGGCAAATGAGTTGCCGAATTAGGAGAGGTTTCCATTCCTGACTCTCATACGCAGAAAGGCTCTCAGAAGGCGGAATCAATGAAGATACTGCACAGTCTTGCTATTTCCTTGGCACCCGTGGCCCGAAACTATAGGAGTCTGCTGGGAATTCAGGAAGCGCAAGCCCAGGTGAGCTGAAGGCTTGAGGTGCCCACAGGCTTTGTGTGCACAGGTCCTTGGCACCATTTGCTTATATGCCCTTTGGGGTCATACAACTAGGCATTTCAGTCCAGCCTCTAGCTTGGCCACGGGTCTACCCTTCTCATGAAGTCAACCTGATTCTCAGTAAGGACATCATTAGTTCCAGAGGGCAGGGGTCTCAGACCCCACTACTCAGCAGCAACCTTGTAGGAATTTAAAGCATATCCATGCATTGTCTTAGTCAGTGCTCCATTGCTGTGAAGAGACACTGTCACCATGACAACTCTCCCCACCCCCAGAGACAAGGATTCTCTGTGCAGCTTTGGAGTCTGTCCTGGAACTTATTCTGTAGACCAGACCTTAACTCACAGAGATTCTCCTGCCTCTGCCTCAGTGCTGGGATTAAAGGCTTGTGCCACCATGCCTGGTCCTCCAACGATAACTCTTATAAAAGAAAACATTTAATTGGGGGCTGACTTACAGCTTCAGAGAGTTTAGTCCATTATCATCATGTCAGGGAGTATGGTGGCGCACATGGAATAGGAGCAATAGCTGAGAGTTACACACTGATCCAAAGAGCGAGAGAGAGAGAGAGAGAGAGCGAGGGGGGGGGTTGGACTGGCACAGGCTTTTGACACCTCAAAGCCTACCTCCAGTGGTATACTTCCTCCAACAGGGCCACACCTACTCCAACAAGGCCACACCCACTCCAACAAGGCCACATCCCCATCCCTCCTACTCCTTCTCAAACAGTGCCACTCCCTGATGACTAAGGATTCAAATATATGAGCTTATGGGGCCATTCTTATTCAAACCACCACAAGCATAGACGGGAGCCTTAACCCCATATTTAACATATGAGACTTGGGTAAGGGAAAAGTTGGCAAAATTAGATACAGTTAACTTTTTACACTGGAGGAAACGTCTTACTCAGAAAGCTACAAGTCAAAGAGACTCAGTGATTTTGAGGCAGGGTTTCTCAGTTTCACTGTCTACAGTTTGGCCCAGCTAATCCACCATTTCCCTGTGCACTGGTTGTTCAGCAGCATCCTGGCCAGTACCAAAGCAACACCAGCAGTAACTGTCCATAGCACTTTGAAGTGCTATAATCCTCTGCTCGAAGGCAGAGGCAAGGGAAACACAAGTTCAAGGCCAGTCTGGGCTACACAGTGAGCCTGAGACCAGCCTGGGACTATACCGGACTCTGTCTCAGATAGAAAGACAGACAGACAGTAGCTAAAGTCCCCGACAGGGCGGGATGATGACCCCTGTGAAAGCTGCTAGTGGGATGCCCAGTAACTCATCACCAGCGGCATGGGAGCCAAAAGCATCCCAGTGATCCCTGCAGTGCTGGCTCTTTCAAGCATGTGGCCTGGGACACAGAGATGAGTCAGTTTGTCAAAGACACCACAGTCTACTTTATGTTCTTGCACAGAGTAAAGAAGGCTAATGAAGGGTTATCCTGGTCTCCAGCCAGATAAGATAAGCTCAGAACAACCAGCAGCCTGCTGGGCCACCCAGGGTCCTCTTGGGCTCTCTTCAGGGGCTGCACGCACTCCGGCCAGCACAACTGTACAAGTAAGATATGAAAGGAAGTCAGACAGTGGTGGCCAAACCTTTAATCCCAGCACTCTGGAGGCAGAGGCAGGCGGATCTCTGAGTTCGAGGCCAGCCTGGTCTACAGAGCTAGTTCCAGAACATCCAGGGCTACACAGAGAAATCTTGTCTCAAAAACAAACAAACAAAAAAACCAACCAAACAAAAAATATATGGAATGAAAATTAACAAACACAGCTAGAAATAAAGAAACCTTGCCCACACTATGGGTTAATATTTTTAGATTATTTTTTCATATTTCTTCTATTGTGCAATTTTTATTTTTTTTTTTTACATAGGACACAGGAAGTAGTTCAGTTGGTTAAGTGCTTACCTGGGACACATGAAACCCTGGTGAACAATCCCCAGTACCACATAAACCAAGAATGGGGTCTCAGGCCTGTAATCCTAGCACTTGGAAGTGGAGGCAGGAGGATCGGAAGTCGAAAGTCATCTCAGCTACATAGTAAGTTCATGCCAGCCTGAGCTACAGGACACTCTGTCTCAAACAAATACACAATTCTTCGGTAACCCAAATGAGCAGAAAGAGGTTAATGTGTGCCGGGCAAGCCCATGATGAGCAGCATCCCCAGCCACAAGTGAGGGATTTATATCTATGCATCTGTACAGATGGGAGCTGTACACCTCATGTCCCCATGCTAGGATAATGCAAGAATTAAAGAGCTCTGTTGTGTCTAACCGGGCAATTGATACCTTGTCTTCGCCTCTAGTGACACAAATACACAGAAGATTAGTGCATGGTAACACCCAGATGCTCTACCATCCACCCATGCGGTGGGACAGACCACAGCAAACAAGATAGAACAGACTTTTCCGTTTCTTGGCAACCAATTTTATTATGCTTTGACCTGGCAGCTGGTAAGGCTTAATATGAATTAACCATCCAGGTTGTGAAAAAAAATCAGGGGCTTTGAAATATGGTTTTCCTAGTGGCAGATAAAAACATGTTCATTTATAGGATTGCCTTTCTTTCTTTCTTTCTTCCTTTCTTTCTTTCTTCCTTTCTTCCTTTAAAAAGTTTAGATTTTCCCCCTACTTTATGTGTATGGGGGTTCTGCTTGTGTGTACGTCATTCGTGCCCATGAAAGTGAGAAGGAGGTACTGGAACTGGAGCTACAGGTTTTCTTTTAAATATTTAAAATGTATTGTATGTGTGTGTATGAGTGTTTTGTCTGCATGAATGTACGTGCACCACATGCACACCTGGTACCTGGGAGAGGTCAAGAGGGGACTGGATCCCCTGTGACTGGAATTATGGGTGGTTGTGAGCTACAGTGTGGATGGTGGGAACCAAACCCAGGTCCTTGGGAACAGCAGCAAGGCCATTACACCCCACCCTACACATAATTTCCTGAGACAGGCATCGTGCCACGGGCCCTGGTGGGCTCTGGCTCCACCCCGGAGTCTATGTAACTTAGACAGACTTAGCCTTTCTAGGTGGGGATCTCCTTTACTATGAAAGTCTAGAGTAAAACCAGTGCTTCTCTGACTTGCTTTTAGTTCTGGTGCCATTAACAAATTCTGTGCGGAGACACACAGCCACCAAGTCAGAGCTCAGCCATTCTTTGGACTTGAACAAGCATTTCCTATGTATAAACATGATCTCTAACTAGAACTGTTTATGTTTGTATTTTGGAATGAGGTGTGATGGTGTGCACTGCAATCAAGAGGCAGAGTCAGGGCAGACAAGAGCTAGCTTGTTACATTGAGACCCTCACTCAAAAGGGAAACAAAATTAAAGGAAGAAAGAAAAACTTAATGGTTTTTATTTGGTAAATCTGGAACCCCATCCTCAAATTAGAATTTCACATGGGCTTGGTAACACATACCTATAATCCTAGCAGAAGGCTGACAATCAGAAGTTCAAGGGCATCCTCAGCTATACTGTGAGTTCCAGGTTAGCCTGACATACATGAGATCCAATTAGATAGAAAGAGAGAGATTAGGGAAGGAGGAGGCAGAAAGAGAATAAGGAAAGGGAGGAAGGAAGGAAATTCCAATCCCTTTTAGGCCAGATGCTCAACTTTAATTGGCAATAAATACAATGCATTATTGGATCTCAATCATACATCCCTGGGTCCCCACTCTGGAAGGTCCTAGCCAGCTAGATGCTCACCATTCCTGCCCCTCACACCAGGACTTCATGTTCACTAAAAGCTTTTATCTTAGCTTCCAATGTCTGCTCTCAGAGTAATCAGTTTAAGGGAAGCCAGACCATCAACTCAAATTTCCTGATCACCAGGCAGAGGAGCAAACACAGTCCAAGCAAATCTCACAGGGCATAGAGAGTGGATGCTCACAAAGGCAAGAACTACTTTCTCAAGGGCCAGTCACACAAGGGCAAGAGAGTTTTCTTCTCAGGGGCTCGGACTTTACCCTGCAAGCCCTGTTCTTTCCAATCTATTTTATTAGGGGAATGCATTATGTGTGTGTGTTCAAACACTCCATACTGTGCTAAAATAATTCCTAACACACAAAACACATAAAATTAGTTATCACACTTTCTAGGCCGAATTAATTCAGTTCATACTGGGAAGTCTCACAATTCCTCATTCAGTGGGAAGCTCCATTCAGTGGGAGGCAGTGGGCAGCAATAGAAAATGGAGGTCTATAAGAAGATTCTTTGCTAAGAAAAGTATGGGCTATACCAGTACTTCTCAACCTGTGGGTCAGGACCTTTTGTGGGTCGAACAACCTTTTCACAGGGATTGCCTAAAACCCGCAGAAAACACAGATACTTGTATTACAATTTGTTCTGGTGAAAGCTCCACCTGAGTCCCTGGAACCTATATATCCAAAGAGTCTGGGATGATTAAGTGGAAACCCCAGCTCTCTCTCCAGACCCTGCCCCTTCAGAAAGTCTACCAGAACTGAGAAGCTGGCCTTAGTTTCCACAGAAATTCAAGGGACTCCCCATGGCCAAGAGCAACCGTTAAACAGGAGGGCAAAGCTGGAGGCCTGGCATGCCCTAACTTCAAGACTCCATGGGCTCAACCATCCGGACAGGGTGCCACCACTGTAGTAGCAGGCATACGGTATGTAGAAGACTACAAATCCGGACACAAACTCCACATCTGGATCTGATTTATTTTCAACAGTGGTGCCAAAGGGCCAAAATTCAAAGGGTCAAACAGTCTTGTCAACAAACACTTCTGGCAAAAGTGAATATCCACATTTGGGGAGATAAAGTTAGACCCCCTACCCCACATCACACACAAAATTAACTTAAAATTAACCAAAGAATGAAATAGAGAAGTTAAAACTATAAGAATTCTGGGTGTACAAAAAAAAACGTCATAAACAAATATTCATGGCTTCAAACAAACAACCTGCTGGGCATGGTGGCACACAGCCATAATCCCAGCACTTCCTAGGCTGAAGCCGGATTGTCATCAGTTCAAGGCCAGCCTGGGTATGAGAGTGAGACCTTGTCTCATAAAATCAAAACCAAGACAATGACTGGGGAGGTGGCCCCGTGGACAAAGTATCTTATAGACCTGTGCAGGCAGGAAGGTCTGCTTTGAGATCCCCAAAACCCACATTGGGGTGTGATCCTAATGCTTGGGGATGGAGAGGATCCCTGGGACTGACCAACCAGTCCAGACAAGGAGCTCCAGGTTCAGTGAGAAACCTGTCTCAACAAAAGTAAGGCGGTCAGGCTTTTAATCTTAGCATCCAGGAGGCAGAAGCAGGAAGATCTCTGTGAGTTGAAGGTCAGTCTGGTTTATGTAGTATATTCCAGGCCAACCTGAGCCACACAGTGAGACTCCCATCTTAAAAACAAAAGACCACACACACACACACACACACACACACACACACAGTGGCTAGTAATGGAGGAAGACGGTCAACATTGACTTCTGCCGTATAAATGCACATGTATGGGCCTTCATTCACACACACACACAATTTGTCAAAAATAAATACACAAAAATTATGACAGGTTATGGAAAGGAAGCAGGGGATGGGTGAGGGGAGGGAGGGAAGGAGACCAAGGGAAAATAAGAAAACAATTCTCATTTAGGTGTTGTTCAGCATTGCTGTGTGCTTTTTACTTCTTTTTTCTTTCCTTCCTTCCTCCCTTCCTTCCCTCCCCACTCCCCCCCCCCCAGCGTTTCTCTGTAGCTTTGGACCCTGTCCTGGAACTAATTCTTGTAGACCATGTTGGTCTCGAACTCAGAGATCCCGAGCGCCACCACTTCCTGGCTCGCTCTTTCTTTCTTTCTTTCTTTCTTTCTTTCTTTCTTTCTTTCTTTCTTTCTTTCTTTCTTTCTTTCTTTCTTTTTCTTTCTGCTAGTGGTTTTATTTTTTGAGACAGGTCTCATGTAACCCAGGCTGGCCTCAAGCAAAGGCTGACCTTGACCCCTGAATCCTCTCTGTCCACCTCCCAAATGCGAGGATTACCTTTCCCACGCTGTTTTCACTCTCCAGAAAGCTTTAAAGAAATGATTAAAAAATGCCTCCTGCCTCCCTCAGGCAGCAGGGCTGAACAGCTAACTGGAACAGCTGTTAGCCCTTGGGCTCATAAGAGAAACCTGTGGGGAACACCCCAGGGAACAGCAGGTTGCAAAGGCCAGGGGGTTGCTGAGGAGATCTCAAGATCGCCTACTTTTCAGACCTGAATTTCTAAATCGGTACCCAGCTGCTGGGTAGAGACCTGGCCTTGACAAAGTGACCAAAATGTGTCATCGCATTAATTCTACCTCCATTAGGGTAACTCTACGACCTGGCAGACAGGTTGGGTTCTCTGAATGACAGCAAAAGGGAGAGCCCTTTCTCTTCTGCAAGCAGCGGACCTCTAAAGACTTTAAAGTCAAAACAAAAGCGAAGGAACAAGAGCCGGGTGGAGTGGACCTTACTTTCCTTACCTCCTTATGGGGACTCTGACACTTAGATTTCACTTGGGGAAACCTTGGACCCCAACCCCTGGAACCTAACGGGACCAGCATCTCGTCTAAAGATCCTTTGTCCCCTGGTCAGCCCAGGACCAGCTCGATCGCCCGCAACCTGCCGCACGGAGGACGTAGAGCACTCACCCGGTTTGGTGCTGTCCCCGCGGCGTTGCGTCCCTGCAGTGCTGAGTCCTCGAGGTACTGAGTCCCCGTAGTGTTCAATCCCTTAGGCACTCCCTTCCAAACGGAGCTTGGGACCCCAAATGACTGGCCTTTTTTGGGTGCTTGGCGGTTTTTTCCGTCCGGCCCCACATCACTTCCCGTGAAGGAGAGCGCAGTGGGGGCGGTCCCTGCGCGGCCTCCGCCTCCGCCTTCTGTCACCTGCCCGCAGGCCCCCCGCCACAGAAACGACCTCTTGCCTCGCCTGGCCCGGAACAGGTCTCCTTGCCCTGTTGAGGAAGGTGCGGGAACCACAGGGGGTGGTTTTCGTTTTGAGACCCAAAGTACCATTCACAAAAAGGTCAAACTGCCCCAGGATCCTGGCGAGGCGAGGCGTGCCCTGGTACCTACTAAGGTCTGTTCTAAAAGCCCTTTCTTGGCTGTGCATCCTCGCTGGGGAGAGTCTGGGCACGGCCTGCCGGACGTTCCTGGATATGACAGCGAGAAAAATAAGGTAAGATTCAGGCAGGAAATATATATATATAGACATACAATTCTGGGAGGCAAAGGCCAGCGTAGTGGAGTCTACGCGAACACAGTCTAATTCTGCTTACAGTAAGCCTGAATTCCTGAAACACTGATAGGACAGTTAATACACAGTAAGAGAAATTGTGGGCAGGCATAACATACTAAGACAGGGTTAGGAGCAACCTGTGAGCCTCTGCTGCCTCCCAGCGGCCTCTTCTCGATGCCCAGGGTTTTCTTTGAGGAGTTTGGATGTTGACCCGGGGATGATATTATTAGCCAAATCCATCCAAAGGTGGCTCGGAGCCATCAACACTGGCCTTTGGGCCTGCCCCTTTGTGCTTTCAGAATTCCACATCCGAGAGAAGCAAAATGCCGGGAAGCCTGAGTTCAGCTTCTGTCCATGCAGCTGTCTACTCGAGAGGCCTCCCCCACAAACTCCAGCAGTCCCGTTCCTGCCGGCCAGTCCACCCTCCTGTCTGCTGCTACTGGTACTGCAGGACAGTGCAGACAGTTTCTCAACTATGTCCAAGGAGCTTTCTGAGGACGGCAGCTCCTGGAGCCACCCATGCTTCTGTAAGTAATCCTGATAAACTCACTGGCTTCACCAAGCTGGCCCTGAACAGAATCTTTTCTACCCTTTCCTCTCTATCTGGGGCCAACAGAAACAGACTCCTCAGGAAAAGTCAGGCAATTGTCTTCCTTCAGGAACAAGCTCTTAAGGAGCTACCGTCTTTCAATTTCAACACACTGGGGACCAAACGCCCCACACACAAACTTTGGGGGACAGTCTATGAACACTATTAGGGAACAACACAGTGACTGCTGATGGTACAATCCAGGTAGAATACCCACCTTCAGCTTCTCCACTTCTGCAGCTGAGCAGGGCCATGACTTGGCGTTTACAGACAGGTACTGTGGCCATTCATCAGCTGAGGATGCTTTCAATGAGTAAGGCACTTCAAGGCACATAGGCTACAACAGTGGGCTAGGTTAAATTGCTCCTGGCCCCCAGAACTTACTTGTAAGACTAATGCTTAGGTAGGAGACTTCAGCAACAAGTAAAGGACGTCATTGGTAGATGGACAGAGTGGAAGGTCCTGCATCCCAGCCACTGGGGGAGGGTATGGATAAGGGGAGCTCAAGCAGGAATATCACTTGATCCCAGGGTCTGAAGTCAGCTTGGGCAACACAGTGGAACCCTCTCTAGAAAATAAGTAAGTGTCTGAACACATACAAGTAACACCAAATCAAGGCAAGTGACGTGAGTCTGAAAAAGGGATGAAGGCGACAGATTCCAGGAAGGGCAGATGGACCTGGAAGACAAACAACAGAGCCCAGGCTGTCCTCCAGCTTCCTGTGTAGCTGAGGATGACCTTGAACTTCTGACTCTCCTGCTTCCACCTGAGTGCTGGGTCTACACAGCAGCGTCACTACACCTAGTGTCTGAGGTCCTGGGCATGAAACCTAGGACTTCCAAACCGACGTCAGAGGTGGTTTAATTTGGGTTAATGCATGAGGCAGGGCTATTATTCATTGGCTCTAACAGGATCGTATATTTCTATCCATTGCCCTGTGACTTGACTATGCATCTAGTCTCAAGAGTCTCTACCCTTATCTGAGATCACGTGACATGCTGTAAACCAATAATGAAAAAATGTGCCATTTGCCATACCCAAACAGAAGCTCACAATTCCTAGTCCTGAGTCAGTCTGTCTCTCTCTCGTCATAACCCAGATAAAGCCTGTTCTTTGAGCCTGGGTCCCAGAATAAAAAGACACATGTAACCAAATTCCAATACACCCAGAGCTTCTGTCAAGTAGAATCTTGATACCTGAAAAAAAAATTCAAACACAAATTCAATCCCAGCACTTGGAAGACTGAAGCAGGATGACAAGTTTGAAGTCAACTTGAGCTCAGAGTGACGAGTTTAATGCCATCCTGGATTACATGGCAAGAGTTAAAAAAATAAACAAGCCAACACTGACGGCTCAGGGCTGTAGCTCCAGCTACTCTATAAACTAAGGAAGGATAGTCACACGTTCAAGCCCTGACTTGGCTGCTGAGTGAATTCAATGTGAATTTAAAAAGCAGGGGCTGGGACTGGGGAGGTGGTTCAGTGGTTAGGATCACTGGCTGCTCTTCCAGAGGTCCTGGGTTCAAGTCCCAGCCCCCACATGGTGATTCACAACTGTCTGCAACTCCACTTCCAAGGGATCTGATGCCATCTTCTGACCTCCACAGGCACCAAGCATTCGAGTGGTGCACACTCATATATGCCAGCTAAATACTCACATGTAAAAATAAATGGAATAAACTCATTTTTTTAAAAAAAAAAAAAAAAAGCAGGGGCTGACAAGATAGCTCTGCGGTTAAGAGCACTGGCTACTCTTTCAGAGGATGGAGGTTTAGCTGCCACACCCACACGGCAACTCACAACCATCTCTAACTGGGATGTATAGGTCAGTGGAAGCACACTTACATAGCTTCAGGAAGCCCTGGATTCAGTCTCCAAAACTGGAAAACTCTAACAGGCAGAACTCTCGCATTGTGTGTATTGTACAAGAAAAGGGAAATTAAAAAAAAAAAAGATGTATTTTATGTATATCAATGTTTTGTCTGCATGTACATCCATCTGCACACCAGAAGAGGTCATGGACCCTATGTGACTACAGTTATAGATGGTTGTGAACCACCAACTGGGTGCTGGGAAGTCAAAACCTCTGAAAGAGAAGCCAGTGCTGTTAAGTGCTGAGCCATCTCTCCAGCACAGAAAATACACACACACACACACACACACACACAGAGACACTAAACTACTAAGCATACTGAATTCACTTTCGCAATAGGAAATTATGCCCTGTCCTGAGAAGACATAAAATTGCAAATAAATAAGTGAATACTAAAGTGAAACATTTCGGGGCTGGAGAGATGGCTCGGCACTTAAGAGCACATTTGCTCTTACAGAGAACCTGGATTAAAGTCCCAGGACCCACAAGCAGCTCACAACATCTGTAACTCCAGCTAGGATATTCAACAAGTTTTGCCTCTAGAGGCTCTTGCACTCCTGTGTGTATAACCAACATGAAGCACACATAATTATATTAATTTTAAAGTATTTTTTAAAAAATTTTATTTTTATTGAGCTTTACATTTTTCTCTGCTTCCCTCCCGCCTCTCCCCTCCCCTTCAACCCTCTCCCAAGGTCCCCATGGTCCCAGTTTACTCTGGAGATCTTGTCTTTTTCTACTACCCATGTAGATTAGATCTATGTATGTATGTCTCCCTTAGGGTCCTCATTGTTCTCTATGTTCTCTGGGATTGTGATTTGTAGGCTGGTTTTCTTTGCTTTATGTTTAAAACCACTTATGAGTGAGTACATGTGATAATTGTCTTTCTGGGTCTGGGTTACCTCACTCAAAATGATGTTTTCTAGCTCCATCCATTTGCCTGCAAAATTCAAGATGCTGTAAAAAGAAGTATTTTTTAAAATGAATTATCTTATTTGTTAGATGTGGTGAGACTCTGTAATCTCATCACCAGTAGCAGGATTGCATGTTTGAGGCCACCCCGAGCTACACAGATAGACCCTATCTAAAAAAACAAATGCCAGTACCCCCATAAACCAAGCATTTGGAAAGCTGAAGTTGGGATGCTTAGAGTAAATTCTAGTTCAGCCAGGACTACTCAGAGTAACCCTGTCTTGAAAACAAAACTATAAATAAACAAATAACCTTAAATCCTTTACCCATGATTTATTTATTAAAATGTACCTAAATTTTTACTAGATTAATAGTCCATGTGTAATTTCAACAGAATGGCGAACAGTGCCTACAAATTCACTGGACGCAGAATTAGCTCTTCTTTTCTTCTGCTGCTTGAAACGCTTGCAGTTTTTCTTCTAGTTCCTTCTGGTCTCTGGAATATTGTTCAAATATTGGCTGATAAATATACATCCCTCCAGCAATTCCGAGGGCGGCAGCAAAGAGCACCTGTGAGACAGTCAATCTCCTGAGCATTGCCAAACAAGTAGTGCACAGGCCGAGGGCGGCTATGCTCCGCGGACAGCGAATCTCTTCAGATCTGTTTCCAAAGAAAAGGGGACAAAAAAGGGACCACTTAGTACAGGAGCCTTTTTAAAAAGTCCCTTCGGAGGTCAGCAAGTGTCAGAGTCCCTGGAGCAGGAGTTACAGGCAGTGGTTGGCATCCAGCACAGGTGCTGGGAACTGAACACCTCTAGAAGAGCAGTATCCACTCTCAACCCCTGGGCCGTGTCTCCAGAACAACTGCCCTTTCAGAGGTTTATTACGAGTTTGCTCTGGTGTGAATGTTTTTATAATATTTAAGAATCACTAACTAAATCCCAGCACTTGGGAGGCAGAGGCAGGTAGCCCTGAGTTCAAGTCCAGCCTGGTCTACAGAATGAGTTCCTAGACAGCCAGAGATACACAGAGAAACCCTGTCTTGAAACAAACAAACAAATGAAAAAGAACCACTAAGTAATAAATACAAATACATAGGGGTTTGCAGGACAGCATATAGCCTTACTATGGAATATTTTCTAAAATTTCAATTTAGTTGCCAATAGTTACAAATCTTATTTTACATTTAACTTTGTATTTCCCCCAGGCACAGCAGTGCATGCTCATATTCCCAGCACTTGGGCACAGACAAGAGGATGGGGAGCACAAGGTCACCCTTTGGCTCCATGCCAGTTTGAGGACAGTCTGGATACCATAACAGGTCTCAGACAAACAAAAAGCAAAACCAATCAACAAAAGCCTTAAAAAGGAACGTACAGGGAATGAAGGGCAGAGGGTGGCATGAGAGGACGCTAAACACCCTTCTATTACAGCACGTTCCCACTGAGTTCTTTCCTGATGTTTGCCTGTTTGTTCTGGCTCTTCGAGATAGGCAGGCTGTTCTAGAGGTTACAGTTCTGTCTTCCCCTCCAACATGCCAGGATGACAGGCTTATCCCACTAACCTAGCCATGTTAGTCTTCTCAGTGTGGGTAAACTGGTAGCTTTTAAAATGGCAAAAGGATGGCAAGGGATGGCAACCATCTTGCAAGTCATACAAAACTTTTTACTCCAAAAGATACCTCAAGGGAAGTCAGACATGATTGTCTCATTTTAAATCTTATCTAAATAATAATAAAATTTATTAATAAATAATAATGACTTTTCATTATTTCTCTACAGTAGCCATAATTTTTAGCAAGCTTTATGACAAAAATTTCTAAGAGGCTATAAAAATGTATTGAGCCAGGAGTGGTGGTACTTGCCTTTAATTCCAGCACTATTGAGGGGGCGGGGGGAACAGAGTTCTGTGAGTTTGAGGCCAGTCTGGTCTACATAGTGAGTTCCAAGCCAGCCAAGGCGACATAGTAAGATCCTATCTCAAAAAAAAGCAAAACAATAACAAAATTTGTTGAGTTCCTTTTGATATTTTTGGAGACATCAAATGCAGACCATTGCATGCCTTTTTTGAGAAAAACAGGATGGAGATTTTGCTTCTAGTTCCAACAACTGAAAATAGTGGAAACTTACAAATGAACATAGCACCTTCTAGAAAACAGTGCTACTTGTCAATCACCTTGGTATGATGTTAATGAATGAGAAGAACAGAGCGAAGGAGTCACTCACTTTCTGGATTCTTAACCCTGGATCCGGGTCACAAGTCAATGGCAGCTGATTTTCATCAATTTTATAATGGCTTTCAAGTGGAATTTAGGCTCATGGAGGGAAAGGCAGGTGTGTTTTCTCTTAGATTACACAACTGGCCACACAAATGACAATTTTACCAATCTTGCTTTGGTTCAATGGTGAAGAGTTTACAAACAAAAAAGGAACAAAAGCCAGAGGCCATTTGAAACTGTTTCTAATGTAGTGGGGTTTCTTGGTTTGTTTTTGTTTTTGTTTTTTTGCTGTTAAATCTGAGTCTTTTGGCTGGGCAGTGGTGGCGCGGGTCTTTAATCTCAACATTCGGGAGGCAGACTCAGGCAGATCTCTGTGAATTTGAGGCCAGCCTGTTCTACAGAGTGAGTTCCAGGACAGGTTCCAAAGCTACAGAGAAACCCTGTCTTGAACAACCAAACAACCAATAAATAAATAAATAGATAATCTAAGACTTTTGAACCTCAGTTTGTTCAGTAGACCCCCCTCCCCCCCTTTTAAAAGATGATAATTGAATCTTGGGTTTCATGAACTGAAGTTTCCAGGACAAACAAAAACAAAACACATTCGTTAAACATTCTAATAGACCAGCTGACTAATTAGAACTTCAGTGACTATGTGGAGTCAGGTGTTGCAGGCCTCAAGTCAAATTACCTTGGACTATCTTTAACCCCTTAAATAGTCGGACTTTAGCCATCCATATGTGGCCAAACATCTTTATGACTATCAGGTAAAATCCTGGGATGCAATAACAGGCCCTTTCTTTCCACCAACTCAAAAGCTAAGAATGTTAGCAGAGGGCATCTGAGGCCTGAAGCACAGACGATCCTGTCTACTTCATGTTTTTACCGATGCATTTTTAAAAGTTTTATTTTATGTGTATGAGTGTGCATCTTTATGTACATATCTGCAACAGCATGCATGCCTGGTGCCCTCAGAGGGGAGCCACAGTGTGTGGGTACTGGAAATCAAACTAGGGAGTTCTCCAAGTGCAGTCAGTGCTTTTAATCACTGAGTCATTTCTCCACCCCCCCCCCCCCCCCACCATTTCTTTTTAAATGCTTTGATTGCTCAGCATGGTGGCACACACCTTTGATCCCAGCACTCGTGAGGTGAAGACAGGCAAACCTCTCTAAGTTTGAGGCCAGCCTGTGCACATAGTGAGTTCTAGGCCAGCCAGGGTTATTATATAGTGAGGACCTGTCACCAAGTCAGATAAATAGATGAAGCCGAATGTGGTAGTGCACGCATTAAATCCCAGCACTCGCGATGCAGAGTCAGGAGGACTTCGAGTCCAAGACCAGTCTAATCTATATATCGAGATCGACTCAAGAAAATGATTGCATAAACGGAAGAGAAAGTAGATTAATTTGGAAGAGAAATCCCCTGGGGGTGGTGAAAAACAGATTAATAATAAATATTCACTGATATGGGGCTCAGAGGTTAAGAGCACAGGTCCTGAGTTCAAACCCCAGCAACCACATGGTGGCTCACAACCATCTATGATGAGATCTGATGTCCTTTTCTGCCGTGCAGACATACATGCAGGCAGAATACTATATACATAATAAATCTTAAAAAAAAACTTCATTTAATTTAAAAAATCCACTGACGTATAACTTTCTGTCTCCTGTCATTGTAAGACCTTGATGAACGGTTCCCAGGCGAGGACGCGGCATCTGGGGTGAGCGCCGACGTCACCCGGGAGCTGGTTCTCAGCACTTCACTGCTTCCCTCCGCTCAGTTACCTCCTCAGCGGGCGCTGGCGAGGTGCCGGGAGCAGAAAGGCGTCCAGTCCTTACTTTAGTCTTCTCCAGGACTGAACTCCAGTCAGGTAGGTGCAGTTCAGCACCACCTAAAGACTCAACCGCTTCCGGCCGCATTTCCGGCTGTGGATGGGCTGGAGCAGCCCCGCGACGGCGGCTCGCCGGGCCCAATCTTAGTGGTGCGCGTCCGCCCGGGAAAAGGTACGGGGCAGGCTCTGTGCGGGCTGCAGGTGGCTGGGAAAGGATGGAGCCCGAGGCCGGCGACCACGGCCTGGCCTTTCGCAGTCTCCACAGCGGCTCCGGCGAGATGAAACTGCGGAAGAGGAAGTCCACGCTGTACGTGAATACGCAGGAGAAGCGCTCTCAGCGCGGCGGTGAGTGCCGGGTGCTCCGCAGAGCTCACGGCTCCTGGCGCCTGCGGCTTGGCGGGCTGTGCATCGCGGTGGAAACGAGCTGAAGCTCGCTGGATAGTGTCCTCGCTGTGTGGTGCACGCGGTGCTTGGACTTGCCGCAATCCTCCTGCCTTAGCCTCCCCATTGACGTGCGGTGATGACACGATCACATCGGGCATAACAGATTTTAACATAAAATCTGATTCCCACACTCACACACGGACTGTTAACAACTAAAGTAGAAAATACTCTGTATTCAACATATAGCTGAAAAGCAAACTTGGAAGTAGGCCGACTGGCCTGGGCTTGAATCTTACCTAGTCAGTAACAGCATTTTTATTTTGGGCAAAGCAGTTTTCTGAGCCTTAGCTTCCTCACATCGGAAAGGAATCACCAGTGGCAGGGCGAGGTCAGGGGGGATATTCAGTTAAGGAATCACCAGTGGTGAACAGGGGTGTGTGTGTGTGTGTGTCCCCGCCCCCTAGTGGGGTTTCTGTCTTTTTGCGGTGGTTGGAGGTGTTCATGGGTTGTTACCTGCTCCCCACACACTGTTAGGGAACACACTCAGGGCCTCAAGCAGGCTAAGCAAGAGTCCCACCCTTACCTAACTCGCAGTCGGTCCAGTAAATCACTTAACTAGGTAACATTTGTGGAGTGGTATGAAGGGCCTTAACAGAGCCAGAGCCAGAGCCAGAGCCAGAGCCAGGAACGCCACAGTTGTGTATCTGAAGGAGGAGCTGTCAGACTTTAATGCCACAGTTACTACGTTGATTTGCTTTTCAGGTCTTCTTGGAGAAAGCATTTACCTGGTCTTGTTTACCATTGCTCTGCGAATACTTAACTGCTTCCTAGTGCAGACCAGTTTCGTTCCTGATGAATACTGGCAGTCTCTTGAAGTTGCACACCACATGGTCTTCAGATATCCTTTCTTTGGTGTTTTTCAAGACAGGTTTCCTCTGTCTAACAGCACTGGCTGGCCTGGATCATGCTTTGTAGATCAGGCTAACCTTGAACTAACAGGGATTCACCTGTCTCTGCCTCCCAAGTGCTGGGATTAAAGGCGTGCGCCACCATGCTGGACTCGCGAAACACATTTCTAATTTGAGGAAATTAAGACTTTAGTTGATCAAATATTCAATATAAAGTAAAACTTTGTGTTTTAAGGATTAGGGTGCAGTTTAGTGGTGCATTACCTGCCTAGCATATCCAAGGCTGGAGATCAATTCCTATTATCAAAACAAAAAACTGTGTTTTAAAACTATTTGATATTTGGTCCTTGATATTAGTAATTATGGTTATCTGACCTGGGAATGGACAGAGAGACTGAGGGGCTACACTTACCCCCTCATCTTTGCGAGCATTTACAAGATTCTGCATCTTTTGGGGAAAGACAGTGTTCAATTACTGGTAAGTTTAAATTAAAGTGACCAAAATTGTTAAATCCAGATGTACTCCTTTTTCAAGAGTTAGCTGGTAATAACTGAATGATAATTGAATAATAACTTTGCAAATCTCACAAAATTTGTTTCTAAAAGGCTGTTGTTGGTAAAGTCCAGCCTTGTCTGGGAAGCCCACTGTACCAAAGACACTGATGTAGAATTCTTCAATATATTTAAAAATAAATTAAATTTTAAATAAAAAGATAAAAGTGAACGGCTGGGGAGTTAGCTCAAGGTTAAGAGCCCTTCTCCACTCTCATAAAGACCAGAGTTCAGGTCCCAGCACCCATGAAAGAAGCTAAGTGTCCCTGCAAATACCTGTGATGCCAGCTCTGTGGAGGTAGACAGATTATCCCCGGGTTGTGCTCCACCCTGTAAAACAGACCCTGCCTCAAAAGGAACATGTGATAGAGAAAGAGGTCAAACACCCTCTGGCATCTTTGTGTGCACATACATAAAGCATACACAAATAAAAGATGACGAGAAAATCTGCTGTGAGAACACAGTTTAAAGACAGCAAAATATGTTTTATATAATGTTTTGATTCATTGGATTTGGGGGGAAAATAGTGTTGATAAACATTTAATGACTTGTATCATCACTGTGCTATGCAGTAAGACTGCAGTTTCTAGGCTATGGATTACTGGGGGCTGTTAAGAGGATGCTGTGCACAGGACCTGAGAAGTCTGTCTAGTCCGACTCTCATATTTGAGGATCCTTTGGAAGAGGGGCAGGAGGGAACCAAACCAAGCCCTTGAGCATGCCAGCAGGTTCCACTGGGGTACATGCCAGCCCTCAGGGGAGTTAGGCAGTCATCAAGTTGGACCCAGAAGTTTGGACTGTTTCTTTTTGGTCAGGGAAACCTAGGCCCCAGTATTCCAAAGGGAGTCCAGTTCTGAGGTGCTATGTAGAGCCTAGGAAGACTGAGGCTCTGGATTAGCTTGTTTGGCACAGGGCTGGGCCTCTCTTTGCACTGGCTGAGGCCATCTTGAAAAAAAAATCATTTTTTTTAAAGATTCATTTATTCATGTGTGCTTGGCACATGAATGTTGGTGCTGGATGCCAGAAGGGTTCAGATGCTCTAGGCTGGTAAGTACCCGTGAGCTTCCTGACCTGAGTGCTGGGAACTGAACTTGGGTCCTCTGAAAGAGCAGCAAGCACTCTTAATCACTAGTCATCTCTCCAGCCCTGAATTTAAAAACTTTTATTGTTAAGAGCCCAGGCTGCGGTATCAGGTCTGCCTTGGTCTGAATCTAAGTATCAATGCTAACTGGCTCTAGAGTTTCGGGCACATAGCTTAACCTCTCTGTGCCTTGGTCGTCTCAGCGGCCTGATGGCAGATGTTGTTAGAAGGAATGAGCTAATGCATGTAATACTTACTATGATACCCAGCACATAGTACTGTAAATGCTTGACTGAAAAACAAAACCTGCCGTATGCTTCTAAAAGAGAATCTTTTTTAAAAAGATTTACTTATTACAAATAGAGTATTCTGCCTGCATGTGTGCCTGCAAGCCAGAGAGGGCATCAGATCTCATCACAGATGGTTGGTGATGTGTAGCTGAGAAATTGAACTCAGGACCCCTGGAAGAGAAGCCAGTGCTCTTAATCTCTGAGCCATCTCTCCAACCCTAAACACGTGTGGTTTTTTTTTTTTTTTCTTTTTGGTCTTTCAAAATAGGGTTTCTCTGTAGCTTTGTCCTGGAACTAGTTCTTATAGACCAGGCTGGTCTTGAACTTTCGAATGTACAGAGATTCACCTGCACCACCACCGCCCTAAAATAGAATCTTAACACAATAAAATGGTTTCAAGCTGCTCAGGAGGAGCTCAGTGATAGCTGCACTTGTCTAACATGCACATGGCCCTAGGTTCAATGCCGACTATTACAAAGTATATTAGTGTTGTAAGATATACAGAAATATAAAAATGGGTAAGTGGGGGTATGGGTGTCTCACACACTTGTAAATCCCAATACTTGGGGGTTCTGGAACACGAAAAGACCGCGGGGGCTACATAGCAAAGCCTTTCCAAGAGATGGGGGAGGGGCCGCTTTGCAAGCAAGGGCCGGCCAGCTAAGCACACGCGCCCGAGTGAATACGGAGATGGGAAGGTGGCGGCTTTCTGCGGATGGTTAGGTTTTTGTTTTTACGGCAGTTCAGTATGAACCAGGATGATGTGCTCAACAAGCCTTTTCTTTTTAACCACTGAAGATCTGGATTCCCAGACTGGGCCAAGCTCTTCTCTCTGCTGTAGCAGATGTGAGGCTTTACTCGCTCATGAAGCACGTGGGAAACCAGGAAGTGGCACGATGGGTGGTAAGTCCCCACACTGTAGACATTTGACAGAGCATGCGTGGGCAGGCGGGCTCTAAAACAGCTGGGCCCTGGGACTGCCTGGAAGTTCTCCCATAATTAAGAACAGTAAAATCTGAGTGGTACATGTCATCTCCCGACTGAGCCCCAAGTGGGACAGGCCAAATCCCAAAGCCGGCTATGGAAGCCTTGGGCATGTAAGTTGTCAGAGTCCTCATCTCTTTCCTTAGTCTTTGGACATTCTGGAAGCTGCTTTACAGCCTATGTTCACTGTCCCTGCCCAGCCCTGAGGATCACCTGAGAAAGCCCTTTACTTACTGAAGCACAGCCCTAGCAGGAGAGCCTGAAAGGACTGGGCTTGTGTAAGGGAGGGCATGGCCTGAAAAGGCATCTTGTCAATAGGCTTATTTCTTGTGTTTGGTTTTTTTTTAATTCATTTATTTATTATGTATACAGTGTTCTGCCTGCTTGTATGCTTGCATATCAGAAGAGGTGACCAGACTCATTACAGACGGCTGTGAGCTACCATGTGGTTGCTGGGAATTGAACTCAGGACCTCTGGAAGAGGTCTCTCCAGCCCCCCTTGTGTTTGTTTGTTTACTTTGTTTCATTTTTGAGACAGGGTCTCCCTACATAGCCCTGCCTGTTCTGGAACTCACTATGTAGACAAGACTGACCTCAAATTCACTGAGACCCTTCTGCCTTGTATCTCCCAGACAAACTATACGCCCAATGGGGGAATGGATTGTGTAGTGCCATGGTTTCCTTACTTCACTCTGCCCACGTGAACCATTTACCAATCTACTGATTTTATTGTTTCTATCACAAAATATACTCTAAATTCCAAGCTTTCCATTCACCAACACATTTCTGGAGGAAGGGCCTATTTGTGCCGACATGTTTCTTTACATTTTAAGATGTGTTTTATTTTCTTTGTGTCTGAATGTGGTGCCCATGTAGGCCAGAAGAAGGTGTGGGATTCTCTGCAGCTGAAGTTAGGTGTTTTGTGAGCCACCAGCAGGGTGCTGGGACCTTAACTCCTTGGTCTGTTTTGTGTTTTACATCGTAAAAATAAAATCAGCTTAGTGACTAAGTCCCCACTAATTGATTCAGGCACCGACTCATCCCCATGGCAACTGTGTTTTTATGTTTTATGTGCACTGCCAAAGGCACACGTGAAGCGGTAGCAGAGATGGCAGCCCACCTTTGAGGCCTTCCCTCAAGGAAAACCTTTTCCATCATGAAAATCAGAACTTTTGTTTTGTTCATTTGGTTTTTCAAAACAGGGTTTCTCTGAGTAGCCCTGACTGTCCTGGAACTCAATTTGTAGACTAGGTTAGTCTTGAACTCACAGAGATCTGCCTGCTTCTGCCTCCCAAGTGTTGGGATTACAGGTGTGTACCACCACTGCCTGGCTTTTTTTTTTTTTCATCAGAACCTTCCGAAACCACTACCAACTTAGCATTAAGATATGCAAATCTGTTATCAGAGCCGTGGGTGGCACAGGATAAAAACAGCATTTGGCCATGTCTACTTTTCTAACATCCCCTTCGATGTAGCTTCTGTAGCATCTGGGCCCGTGCTTTCTACAGAAGATAACACTTTATCCATTTCCTACTGCAGCTGTACTCACTTCCGTCTTCTTAGTTTTTTTGCCAGCTGTGCTCCTGGTTCACGTGGTACTGCTGTACCCGGACCCTCACGAACACCACGGAGACTGCCCTCACTGCAATTGCCCTCTTCTACTATCCCCTGGAAGGCTCGAGGTCCATGAACAGGTAAGACAGGAGTTCTAGGATGTGCTTTTGAAAAACCCCAAGCATCAACATTTTCTATTCTGTAGAATATCCCACCTGTTCAGGGGACTTAGAGGAACCAAAGGTTTCCGATGAGTGTAACAGAAAACAGTCACACTGCATGGTGAATCTAAAAAGATGGGTCACACTTCATGATGAATCTAAAAAGATGGCTGGTTACTAAGTGTAGACAGTGCTTAGGACGTCCAGCAGTGCCCAGAGCTCGCTGAAGTAGCAGTCTATTATTGGTGGGCACCAAAGGACTAGAAGAAAGAGTCCTGGATCCTTGCCAAGCTCTACTTGAAGGTTCCCATGGGAGACAGGCATAGCTAGCCTTCAGCAAGGAGTCAGCCAGGAGAATAAGTAATCCTCACTCAAGCTGTGTCTGCCTTCCCGTTCCCTAAGGCAGTCAGAAGCAAGGCAGGCTAAGTGTTCCTGCAGGTCCACTGACCAGCACGGGTGAGGGTCAGCAGAGCTGAATAACAAGGGCAAAACCAAAACCCAGGCCAAGCAGAGAGAAATGTCTGAGAAGAAGCAGAGCTGAGAGAGCTGCAGGCGCTAGGCAGGTGGTGTGGGGCGCAAGTGTGTGGGAGGGAGGAGCAAGCAAGGATGAGGCTGAGATGGAACAGGGCTCCACACCTTGGGTTTTATTCTACACATAGTAGAAAACCACCAGAGTCAAACCTGATTTTAAAAGAACATACTAAATCTGGGTATGCTGGCATATGCCTTTAGTCCCAGCATTTATGGAGGCAGAAGTAGGCAGATCTGTGAGTTTGAGGCTAGCATTAACTAAGTAGTAAGTTAGAGGAGAGCCAAGGCCACACAGAGAGAGCCTGTCTCAAAAAAAGAAAGAAAGAAAAGAAAGGAAAGAGAAGAAAGAGAGAAAAAAGCAAAAGCAGTGAAAGGAAGAGACAAGAGTCTTGGGGAGCCCACAAACAAGCCAGTGCACCTCAGTCTTCTCACACCAAGATTCTCCTTTTCTTAAGACAGGGCCCCACTGTGTAGTCCAGGCTATCCTGAAACTCACTATGTAGACCAGGCTGGCCTCAAACTCTTGAGAGCAGCCTGTTTTTCCCTCCCAAGTGCTGGGACTAACGGTGTTTGCTACCACCACGCTCCATTAAGAGATCATTTCTGCATTCCATCTGGGTAAATGATGGCGGCGACTGTAAGTGAAAAGATACAGAAAATGGCTCCTCAGTCTTGAGGAAATCTTGGATTCCTCAGCCCGGGAGAGAACTAGAATATTTCAGTCCTGTAAGATAATTAGGGGTATGGCCTCCAAGGCAGTTTGTGGAAATGGCTGTTCTGTTGTGCTTTATAACCCGAGGGCTCTAACTCCCTGTTTTATAGTCTTTTATTATCAAGATGAGACCTAGCTGGGCCCAATCCACTGTGGTTTCACTAACGATTACTCTAATTTCTATGTCACATTCAGTTTGAGAAACTCTGGGTAGGTCTGTGAAAGATCATTGACCCTATGCCACACATTTATGTAATGCCAACACTGGGAGACAGAGGCAGGAGGATCAGGAGTTAAAGTCACCATCTTTTATACAGCAAGTTTGAGGCCAGCCTGGGCTACACAATAGACAAACAGAGTTGCCTGGGCATGGTGGTTCACACCTACAACCCCAACTCTTGGGTGACTATCTAAACTGCAAAGCCTCACCTTGAATTATGATCCACCTGCCCCAGTCAGTCTCTGAAGTGCTGGCATTACACACCCTCACACACCAGTAATTACACACCCTTGTGTATGTGTGTATACATGTGTTTTTCAGGTGGGTAGAATTTACTTAATTTTGAAAAGACAAAAACAAAAACAAGAACATCTTCCTTCTTGGGCGTGGTGCCTGGGGACCTGACCCCAGGACCTGAATGCTCTTCCATTAGGCTCCACTCTCTACAAGGTCGGTCTTACGGACTTGGGCCATCAATTAATAAATAATGGGATTTCCTTAAATGTTTGCTAAAGAAAGGATTTGTGTATTTTTTTACATAGTTGCTTAGGAGAATGTTTATTATTTTTCTGTCAATGAAGCAGCATTGAGGTTTCATGTATTTTAAAGTACATATGATTAGTATTAAGAATCTGCTTCTTACTTGAAAGTGCTAACCTAGGTTTGGTGGCACAGGCCTGGAACCCCAGCACCTGGGAGGCTCGGAGTAAGAAATGAGCTTGAGCTATTTAAGTAAGACCCCGTCTCAAAAGCCCCCAAACCGGAGTCCTCTCACAGTGGAACTAGGACTAACTTGAAGCTCAGTCTCCAGTCTCCTGTAACAACCTTCCCTCCCTTGCTCCTAGCGTCAAGTACTCACTCCTGGTTGCACTCGCTTGCATCGTCCGCCCCACTGCGCTCATCCCATGGGTGCCGTTACTCTTCAGTCACTTCTACCAAGAGCAGAGAAAGCGCCATCTGACCCTGCATCACTTTTTACCTGTAGGGTAAGTCTGGCCATGGTGCCGTCTATAACATCATATTAACCCGAACATGCCGTTGTGGGGAAGATTTTGTACCCTTCGGCTAATTACTCTATCTAATGTCACAGAAAACTTTCAACTTTGTGTTTGTTATTTCTTAAACACTAGTGTGTGCGTGCTGAAAGGTGTACGTGTACGTGTACACACACACACACACACACACACACACACACACACACACACACACAGGTCAGAGTACTTTTGTGGCAGTGGTTTCTCCAGGAATTGAACTCAGTTAGCAGGCTTACCTTACCTTACCCACGGAGCCATTCCATTGGCCTAGTATTCCATTTTAGATTTATGAGACTGATTAACTTTTTTATTTTGGTTAAACGAAAGTGTCTGTCTTTTAGAATTTCCACTTTTATTTCCTAAAGTTTTCTCTTTATTTAATAAGGACCTTATAACAGTTTTGCTCAAATGACCCCACGATGCTCTTGGGTATAAGTCATACTAGTGTTCTTATTTTATAGTAAACAGAAACATGGAGAAACTTAAAACTAGCAAAGCTAGTGGGCCAGGAACTGAATTGTTTAACCCAGCTGGCCTGAGCACCCAGCATGACACCCACTACAGCACCCAGTAGACTATCCAGACTGTCTTCTCAGCCAGGGAGTGGACCTTGCCCAGCAGAGCACGGAGCTGCCGTGTGCCTCAGCTCTCTGAGTAGCTGAGGTCAGACCCCTGTACGAGGTCTGGCCTCTAGGGCAGTGCCAGATACTGAGCCAGCTCCCAGTGCTCTGGCCTTTATGGGGAAATAATTTTTGTTTCTTGTTTTGCTTTGATTTTTTTTGGGGGGGGGGGGGGAAACAAGGTCTCACTATGTAGCCCAGGCCAGCCTCTATCTTTTGAATGTTGTAATTAAAGACATGTATCACTAATAGCCCTGGCCTGTTTTGTCTTGTTTTGTTTTTGAGACAGCCTTACCCTGAAGCCTTGGCTAGCCTGGGAAGTGCTATGTTAACCAGACTGGCTTTGAATTAGATTCCCTTCTGCCTCAGTTTCTGGGTGACCTTGAACTACCACACCTAACTCAGAAAAAAATGTTGAACCTACTTCCAACCATAAGTTAAAAAGAAAATCATTGCGTGGTGGTGGCACACACCTTTAATCCCAGCACTCGGAGGCAGAGGCAGGCGGATCTCTGTGAGTTCGAGGCCAGCCTGGTCTACAAGAGCTAGTTCCAGGACAGGCTCCCAAGCTACAGAGAAACCCTGTCTCAAAAACAAAACAAAACAAACAAAAAACTTCAAGCACATCTTTTATCATGAGCAACCGTGTTAAAGGGTCACAACGTTAGAAAGGTAGAGATTGCTGCGGTAAGGGTAAATCAGCAGTGTCTGCTCCAGGTTCAGAAGACCGTCCTCCTGACTAGAGCATCCCCCAGCAGGATAGAAAACCTGAGAAGATACATTTGAGTAGGGAAGGAACTTTGCCATGGAGGCAGAGCTCCATGGTAGACCGCTTACCTGCCGACTCCAGCGCTGCACAGAACAAAAACAAAAGGACGTTTTGAGATCCACTGTGAAGAAACTAAATGGCCATCTACAGTACATGATCAACTGAACCTCGTCTCCAGAGAGGACACAAAACATGGAAAACTGGAAACACATGAGGAAACACCCTAGCAGCTTCCAAAACTATCCAGTTTGGGAGCTGCAGTCTCAGTGGTTGAAAGGCGCCCGTGGCTCCTGCAGAGGACCCAGGTTCAGTTCCCAGCACCCACATGGGGACTCACAGCTGCCCACAACTTCAGTTCCAGGGCACCCAACACCTGCCTTTAACCTCTGAGGCCACAAGTCACATACATGGTGCATATGCATGCGTCCACACAAAACACTCATACACACAAAAATAAAAAAAAAAAGTATCCAGCTGGCTGCTAAGTATAACAGGATTCATCTTGCAGGATGTGGTAGCACACATCTTTGAGACCAGCATGCAGGAGGTAGAGGCAGGTGGATCTCTGAATTCTAGGCAGCCAGGGTTGCATGGTAAGACTCAGTCTCAAAACAAAACAGAAACTCGCTCAGCTGTATTCAGGGGCTCAATGCTTCTCTATGGTGCACAAGGCCCTGGGCTCAATACATCTTAAAGAGACAAATCATACAAAGTATCCTTTATAATCACATTGGAATGAAGTTAGACCATTAGCAAACAAAATAAAAAGGTAAATATGCAAAAGCTAAAAGCCACAATCCCAAGAAGAAATCACAAGGTGGAAATGAGGCAATGTCTCTCAGGAGGCTGAGGTAGGAGAAGTTCAAGGCCACCAGCACCACTCTCAAAAACTCTCTGCCAAGCAGTGGTGGTGCACGCCTTTAATCACAGCACTCAGGTGGCAGAGGCAAGTGGGTCTCTGAGTGTGAGGCCAGCCCGGTCTACAGAGTTCTAGGACAGCCATCTTGTCCAAAAAACAAAACAAAAAAAATTATATAGCTGTGTCTCCTTGTTAGCTTTCTGCTGCTGTGATAGACACGGAACAAAAACAACTTGGGGAGGAAAGGATTGATTACAGTTTACCAATTATAGACCATCACCTAGGGAAGCCACGGCAGAAACCTGAGGGGGAACTGAAGAAAGGAAACCTCAGAGGTGCTGCTTACCAGCTTGCTTCCTATACATTGCTCAGCTACCTTTCTTACAAGCCTAGGCCTATGGGCCGGAAGAGGGCTCCGCTCACAGTGGGTATACACTATCACATCAGTTAGCATTTAAGAAAACGCCACACAGACATGTCAAAGGACAATCCGATGGAGACAACTCCCCAGTTGTGGTTCTCTCAGTGTGACAAGTTGACAACTGATGGGAACTATGACACTGTCTGTAGCTAAATAGCTAAAAATGGAGACTGTCCCAAAACAGAACCAAAGCAGTTTGACAGACAGCTATTCTCACAGCAAGACAGCCAATCTTAGAAGTACAAGGATAGTGAAGCTGCCCGCAGCCCTGAGAGCTGCGAAGCTAATCTCTTGTAATATACTTGGAGCCAGTTACATCTGGAACTTGTTTAAACCCTGAAAACTTTGAAATAATAAGTATTCATATTTTTATGTTGGCAGGTTGATTAGTCAAGAATAAGAGTTTGCTTCTCATCAGTGAAAGATCTTTCAAAATGTGTGAACCCAGTTGGTGAACTTGTAAAGCATTTTTTTCAAGATTTATTTATTTATTAGACATACAATGTTCTGCCTGCATGTGTCCCTGCAGGCCAGAAGTTGACACCAGATCTTATTACAGGTGGTTGTGAGCCACCATGTAGTTGCTGGGAATTGAACTCAGGACCTCTGGAAGAACAATCAGCGCTCTTAACCTCTGAGCCATCTCTCCAGCCCTTGTAAAGCATTTTAAAGTGGTGTTTGCAAAAGGCTTTGGACTGGAATTGGCAGGTTCAAATGTGAGTAATCATTCTACTTTGTTTTTCAGACTTATAACCTTCAGTTTGTCTCTGATAATTGATCGCATCTTTTTTGGCCAAGTAAGTAAAAACAGATTAGATGGAAGGCTATTTTTAACCATTGAGCTCTGAAACCTCAAGCTGGACTTGTAATGTTTTGTATTTCAATCTGGGTGTGATGACACCAGCCTGGTGTGGGCTCACACTGAGAAGGCAGGAGGATCAGGTGGTCAACATTATATTATCCCTGGCCGCACAGGAAGGAGGTGGAGGCCAACTTAGGTTACAAGAGACCCCACCTCAGAACACAAACAGACCCATTAATATTTGGGAACAGAGGCAAATCTTTATAGTTATAACAGAATCCACTGAATCACTCCTGGTGTATTCTTTGGTGTCCTCTGCTGTGGTTTCCATAACACACGTCTTGATGTTTAATGATTTTAATCCTTAGTCATCCAGAAATCCTGTCAATCAAAATACTCTGCCCTTCATTTGGTTTGCAAAACAGGCTCCCAAACTATGGGCAGTAGACTTCCACTGCTTTATATTCGGCCTCAAAAGGCACACTCCGCACTGAGTTACAACTCCAATTTGCAGCCTAGAAGATTTATTATTAGCTGTGAGTCTGAGACAAACCTGGTCTACAGAGCAAGTTCCCAGGTAACCTGGCTTACCCCGAGAAACCCTGTCTTGGAAAAAAAAATTAAAAAATAAAAACAAGACTTCATGTCATTGATTAGAATTACTAATGTAAGACTGCTGTCTGATATTTAAATTATTATTTAATATCATGATTCTATCCAATATTCAAAGGTCCAAGATCAGTTTCTGACACTATTTTTTTTTTCTTTTACTTATACCAGTGGACGTTGGTCCAATTTAATTTCTTGAAATTTAACGTGCTGCAGAATTTGGGGACATTTTATGGCTCTCATCCATGGCACTGGTACTTCAGTCAAGGGTTTCCAGTTGTCCTGGGAACCCACTTACCCTTCTTCATCCACGGCTGCTTCCTAGCCCCAAGGAGGCTGCACATACTACTGCTGACCGTGCTGTGGACACTGCTGGTGTACAGGTAAGACTTTTATGTTCACTCAGGTGAATGTTCCAATGTTCCTAAGAGATTCTGAACTATTCCGAAGCAGGCTTTCACTTTCTGAGGCTAGAGCAGTAAGGTTACGGCAGATGGAAGTAACAATAAGTGTATGGTGCCAGACAATGACAATCGTCACTATCAGACATATGTCGGGGAGGGCTCAGCAGGGAGAGGCACCTACCACCATGCCAGATGTTCTAAACTGCGTCACCAGGATCCACATGGTAGGAGTCCTTGGTCCTCTGACCACCAAACGTCCCCTATGGCATGAGCACCCACCCCCAACACACACACCAAAACATTTAAAAATATTTGAATGAATGTATCCTTATTTCAAATCAGTAGTATTGCTTAATTGAATTGGTAATATAATTTTTCTAAGTGTAATTGAACAGTATAATCTCACTGACATGACTGTTTAATCGTAGTCACAATCTATTTAAAAGAGAATGATTTCTGAGCCATACTATAATGCCAGCAGTGCCAATACAAACTAAAGCAGGAAGTGTCAAGGGTTTGAGATTAATGAGAATTATGATTGAAAAATGGTTATCTTTTTAAAAAAATTCCATCTCATACTAGAAAAATAGATCATGTTTATTTCATTTTAAATACATTGATTTCGCAGGAATGTGTAAAATTAATGTTTTGCCTTAATATCCTTTATTATAGCATGTTGGGCCACAAAGAATTCAGGTTTATCTATCCAGTTTTACCATTTTGCATGGTGTTCTGTGGTAAGTGTTTTGTTTAATACAGAATACACTCAAAGATAGGAATAGTTAAGAGAAGCCAGGTGTGGCAGCACTGTGATCCCGCACTGGAGAGGAAAAGGCAGGAGGATCAGCCACAAGTCAAGGGCAGCCTGGGATTTTGATAGCAAGATCCTGTCTGTCTCAGAAGAGTATAAAACATTAAAGACAGTGCCAGTTTATTTCCAACTCGGCTAGATAAAAACTTCCCTATTAGAAACTGTTACTGCAGTGGTTTCTTTTTGTAATCTAATGATCTGTGGGTTTGCTGTCTGATTTTGCAGGCAGGGTTGACCTGGACCTCACTCTTCAGCTGACCTTGAACAAGGGTCATCCTCTTGCCTCAGCCTACCAAGTGCTGGGGTAACTGGTGTGAGCCACCTGGCCTAGCTTCTAAATAGCTTTCCTCCTGTGTTACACAAGGTAAAACAAGGATCCACCTGCCACTCCACTTTTTTTGCCAGGGGTAGAGGATGAGACAGTCTGGCTGACAATCTCACTGTGTCATCATTCAGGCTGGCCTTGACCTCCTTCCTGATCATTCAGTGATGGGATGCCAGGCTTGCTGCATCATGCCAGCTTCCCTTAGAATTATCAAGTCTTTCCTAAACACTTCAAATCCAAGCCTTGTTCTGTTCTTGTGACCTGTTTTACCCTGTAAATGTCACTGTCAGTCACTGTTGTCTAATTAGTGACTTTTAATGCCATTTATTCTTACAAGTCACATCTCAGCCGTGCTCACTCACACCAACTGGACAAAACACTGGGCCTAGGAAGGGCTCTGGATGTGTGGGACCAGGCTAGCTGTAGGCTGAACACATCAGCTCCTGATTCCTGTCACTGCCCAGTCGGTCAGGTGGAGCTTCTTACGTGGGTCCCAAGGGAAGAGTGGGAAGGCAGGAGGCAAATCCTTCCACCAGTCTTTAGGTCACAGCAAGTCAAAAGCAGGCCAGGTTCAAGAGGCAGTAAAACAGCAAGATTTTTTTTCAGTCTAATGACACATACCCACTTAAGCAGAACTCATTTCAGTCCTTTAAGACTAGGTCTGGATAACGAGTTCCTTAGAGCATGAACTGTGCCTTGATTTCTTATCAGTAACCGGAGGCTGTAACTGCCCAAGGTGGAGATGCTGAGATGCACTTGTGCTGATGTGCTGCCAACAAGTAGTAGGTGTCGAGTGGTTTACTGCTGGCCACAGAGATCTTGCTTCCCGCTGACAGAGCACTTGTTCTGAGTTCGGGTCTGCCTATCCAAACTGCTCATGCAGCTGGACAGTGGTGGCGCACGCCTTTAATCCCAGCACTCGGGAGGCAGAGGCAGGTGGATCTCTGAGTTTGAGACCAGCCTGGTCTACAAGCGCTAGTTCCAGGACAGGCCCCAAAGCCACAGAGAAACCCTGTCTCGAAAAAACAAAAACAAAAACAACAACAACAAAAAAAACTGCTCATGCACTGCTTCAAGATGGCCTCTGTTCTAAAGCCAACAAGTCAGGGAAACGGGTACCTGTCTGCACTCCAGCACTCTGGCTGCCAGGACCAGAGGATTGCTGGTTAAGGCCGCCCTGCATTAAATGCATGGCAAGTTCCTGTCTTAAGGGGAAAAAAATATAACATTTGTAATCCTTGCACTCGGGAAGTAGAGGCAAAAGAAACCAAAGTTCCAGGCCAATCCTTGTCCCTGGAAGCAACAGCTTCAACTTGAAGATCTTGCTTAATTGCCCTGGCTAGCTATGAACTGGCACCCGCTTGCCTAGACCTCCACATTGGCTGGGATCACTGCTGTGCGCTACCTCACACACTGTACATTCTCTTGTTAATTTTGGTGTCTTAGTTCACAGTTCCACTACAAGATCTTTCTTGTAGGACTTAGTACTCAAGTGGTGGTGAAAACACAGCTTTACTTCCTGCAACAATCTAAACTTCCTGGTTCCTATGTTTGAGCCCACAAAACCCATACACATAAAAAGAGCTAACTTACACCAAGGGGTTTGTACCTTGTGCATGAGACGGAAGGCAGGCAAATATCCTGGCACTTAGCTACATACGCCCCAGCACCACACCCAGAAGCATCTTTTCTAGGGCCAGGCAACTGGAACAAAGAAGGCTCTTAGAGTGATGTTTATGAGAACTACACCTCCATGTTACACGAAACTAAAAGGCCCTATTAGGTGGTGGGATCCAACTGCGTATGGCTGAACACACAGTGCTGCTTCCTGCACTGCATCTTAGTCCAGGTTAGCCATGATACTGTTTCTTTCCAACTGTCCTTGGCATCATTCAAATTTCAGAAATCCCCCTGTAAATCCTAGATGTCAGATGCCCTCCAACTTTGTCTGCCAGGGTAAGCCTGGACCGCCATTACCCACACCACACCTTTGGCTCAGCAGGAAAAGACTAGCTCTTTCCTGAGAGTACGATGGTGGTGAGTGCGCAGAGAAGCCGATTCATTATTTGCCATGGCTTATACTGCCTGCATGGAAAATTACATACAAATGAACTCATAACAGAAAAGCAAGACCGCCGCGTTCCACTTCCTTCTGTCCATCTCCATGCAGGGTACTCACTAGCCCACCTGAAGGCATGGCGGAAGGCAGCTCTAAGTTTCCTGCTTCTGTCAAATATGCTGCTGGCTCTCTATACTGGCCTAGTTCACCAGCGAGGCACTCTGGATGTCATGAGTCACATTCAGCAAGTCTGCCCCAGAGGTCCTGAGCCAGCTTCAGTCTCCGTGTTCATCATGATGCCTTGCCACTCCACTCCTTACTACAGGTAAGGAAGGCAGTTCTGCCTGAGGTCCCGGCAAGTTCAAGGTCAGCCTGAAACAATATGGAAACTTGGGGTGCTTAACTATTGTGACCTTTCTACACAGCCACGTTCACTGCCCACTGTCCATGCGGTTTCTCCAGTGTCCTCCAGACTTGACTGGAAAATCCCAGTATCTTGATGAAGCAGATACGTTCTACCTAAATCCCTTAAGCTGGCTACAACAAGAGTTTCCAAGCAATGCATCTCTCCCCACTCACTTGGTCACCTTCAGTGTTCTGGAGAAGGTATGTCAACTGGATATCTTAAACAGATTAGCAGCCATCTGCTTCACTGATCCCTTTGCTCCTCTGTGTGAACTACTCTCCTAATGGCTATGGCAAATGCCTGACAAAACACTAACTGAAGCAGAAAGGACTTATTCTGGCTCAGGTTGGAGACACCACCCCATGGGTGGTGCAGTGGAGGAATCTGAGCCTGCCAGGTCTATGGAGCAGCATCTAAAAAGGAGGGAAGTCCTGGTTCAGTTTGTTCTCCCCTTTTCTTTACGTAGACTGGGCGACAGCCCACAGGAATGTGCCATCCATATCAGGATAGGTCTTCCCTAAATTCTGTAAGGCACATAAATTCACCAGATGTGCTTCATTGCTCCCTGCTGACTCTTCAGTGTGTATTCATGTTCCTGTATACACATGCGGAAAGGCCAGAGGTTTAAGTTGATGCCTTCTCCTGTCTATCTCCACCTCATTTTCTGAATCTGGTCTCTCACTAAACCTGGAGCATAACCACTATAGCTTGTCAACATCCCCCCGAATCCTATCTCTGCCCCCGACTCTAATGATACAGTGTTAGGACTATAGGTATGCGCCACCATGCCTGTGTTTATTTATAAGACAGGGTCTCAATGTGTAGCCCTGGCTGGCCTGCAATTCACAGAAGCCCTCCTACCTCTGCCTCCAAAGTGCTAGGCAGTGCTAAAGATGTGCTGTGCCACTACACCCAGCTACCATGCCCAACTTTCTGTGTGCGCTAGGGGTCCAAACTAAGATCCTCATGCTAGGTCAGCAACCATGACTTGAGTCACCTCTTCTGCCCCCCACCCACTGCCCTCCAATGGTTTCTTAATCCAGTGAAGTTGACAAAATTTACTGATTACAACCCCATGTTCCATAACTGGTCTTTCCCCAGGAAAATCAGCCCTAGTTCTGTAGCTCACTAAATATGTTAAGCTACCACAAGTAGAAATCTTGCATGAATTATGAAGAAAAAAGTCACAAAGGAGAAATTATAGCTGGCAACTCGACACTTCTTTGAAACTGCACTTGACCAACATGTCTTTATTTCCTTGTAGGAGATCCGCGCCTTCCTCACTTCGGGGAGCTATGAGAGGACTGCTATTGTCTTCCATACGCACTGGCCAGAGGGTCGGACTGGAAGTCACATACATGTCTATGAACGACGGTTACCCGGCAGGCAGCGTCGCCACAGGAGGGAATGAATTGTGAGGACGGCTGCAGAGACGCTGGCATAACCGAGGGGAACTTCAAGTGGTTCGTGAAATGAAGAGAAAGCCGCTTGGGGGCGGCTATACCATCTATCATACCGAGGCATTCTCAGAAAACACTAGTACGACGCCAGATTTGACAGAGACCTTTAGTTTTCCTCACGGTGCAGTTTATTGTTCTTCCAGTGTTCAGGTGTGCAAGAGCGTTCACAAGAACAAGTCAGCAAGCTCTTCACAAGCCAATGGGCTCTTGATCCCACAGAGAGACAAAAGCGTGAGAGTAGAACACGTTAGAGGGGGTCCTTGTCTCAGCTCATTCCTCAAGCCATACTGCACACCAAGATGGCGGCACTTCCTGCCCTGTATGAGCTGAGCTCAGCTACTCAAACCAAGCCTTGTTTCATGCACAGAATATTTCATGCCTGGCTTCCTTAATAAAACTACTTTTTTTTTTCCAGAGCAAAAAAAAAGTTTTTAACAAACCTAAGCTATGGGAAAATGCAAGTTAGTAAGCTTTGCATTTGTATAATATAAAGCTATCAAACCAGTCTCTAGAAATGAAAAGACAGCCATCTTGGGGGTTTTACCTTAATTTCAACACCAAACAAAGTAGAAAGCATCCACTTCTCTAAATTTCCTAATTTAACCATGAATCAGTATTTATGATCAAAAGGTAACTGCCCCAGTTCTATCTCAAGGTTTGCTGTGTGTCTTCCATTAGTGCAACTGTATTTGTGCCATTTACCTTCCCTTTTATAAGGCTGTGGATGGAGGTGCTTCTGCTCTTGTTTTCGGTGCCTGGAGTTTTCAATATTTACCATACGTTGCTTTTTATCAGGTCGACTGAAAGTAGTAAACACATTTTTTATCTATGTTAGAGTTTAGTTTTCTAAAAGTAAAAATAACTTAATGCTTTTCTCCATTAATCTACTATCTGAGCACTGCAAAAAGATAAAATACAGAATATAATTGTATTTATAATACCCGGAAAGGGGGAATTCACTACTTTTCAACAATAAGGGAAAAAATAGACATAAATACAACTGTACCGGCTGGAAGGGGAAAGCAAGTAAGTAATGAGGACAGGAATGTGACAATGAAATAATGAGATGTTCCGCTATTCCAGTTTAAAAATGTGTCGTGTCCATCGGCTTCATCGCTCAGCTGAAATCTAGACGCACACTCTCAAAGCTGTCTGCCTTTCCCTGCACTCCGCCACCACTGCCTCACACAGAGCCATGGCAGCTCCCTGCGGTCCTCAGCTCAGCACGGACTCCCACCTCTGGGTGCGAGTGCTCTCACTCTGCAGTCTTTTCTTGCTTGGCTTCTCTACAATGGCACAGATGTCTGTGTCCCTGCACAGCCCTTCCAATGGGGACTGACTCTGGAGTGAGTCAATGAATGCTGGGTAACTAACTGCCAACTGATCCTCTCCACATAAATGTCAACGGGCACCTCCAAAACCAATCCACTTCTGGATCCTCTGCTTAGCACCTTTTCTGGTATTCTCTGGGTAATATCATTCCAGATGTATGGAAATCACTTCCTTTCTAATCCCTTTACATATAACTGTTTATGCGTTGTTTTAAATGTATCTTGTCTCCTCCCACCTCAGTGTCACACGTGTAGACACCACTGCTGGTTTCACAGCTTGCCAATCAATCCTCTTGGCTCCCAGTCAGCTAAAGGGCTAGGCACAATTCCACCCCATGACAAAATCCTTCAGAAATTCTCCATCTCACAAGACAGACACTTCAGGACAAAGCGGAGACTTTCCTAATTCCCTCTAGCCCACCTATTTCGTAAAGAAGTAGGTCTTCATTCCTCTACACCTTTGCAAATGACCTTCCATTTCAGTAAGATGCCTTCCCTACTAACCCTCACTTCTCTTCCAAAAGCCAGTTTCAAAACAAGTTTAGATGCAAGGTCACTTCAATCATGAAGTATTCCTGGCATGACTGCCCTGATGCTACTAGGTGCACACCTAATTCTTAAAGAGCCAGGGGTTTGCTCGCACAGCACTAGACACCTGCTTCAGGAACTAAAGATATCAGAAACCAGTCTCATTATTTTATAGGCACACTTGATTTATTCATAAAGATGGAACTGTGACTCTCAAAGGTAAACACCACATATATGCAGTTACAGAATAAAAAGCTGAAGGACAATGGACACAAGATTGATTGTGGGGCATTGTGGCTCCTGAGCATCCATCACCCTTTTCTATAGTGACCCGTCAATGAGTACTCTTACAGAGGGGCAGTTGCACATGACCTGAACTGACATTAAAATCTGTTCTAGCTTCCTATCAAAGATTATACTACACTGAAAGAAACCAAATTGGCTCAAATAAGCCAATATATCCTTAACTAATTTTTAAGGTAGAATTCAATCATTTGTTCAAGCCAATGTGATTATATAGTACATGGATTTTTCAGTTTGCAATATTTAAGTTTTAAAACTTTTTCAATTTATTCTGAATTTCAGTGGTACTAAAGCTTGCCTCTTACAAACAGTAACCTTCCAAGAAGCTCAGCAATTAATAAAAAAAAAAAAACACTATGCAATATACCACTCTTAGAAGCTATTAGAGTAACATAGTTTTATGTAAACCGACCTGGGTCCGAATGGAAGGACAAAAATGTGCCCAAAGTGTCCATGTATGTATCCGTCCAACTTCTCCAAACTGTCATCATCTACGTGATACTCCTTTATTCCCTTAAGGTAGCATTTCACGGCACCAACAAGTTGGGCGAAGAGCTTCTGGTCTTGTTTAAAGACACCATTCGGAAAAAACGGACTGATGAACTGATCCAGTTCTTTCCAGTGGTGAAAAGTGTCCAGTTCATTCAGTAAGTACCACTGAATCAGCTCTCTGAAGTCATTCATCCTGATAGTACTCGCTCCATTAACAGGGCTAGCAGACTCTTGTCCGGCACACTCAAACACACCTGAACAACCCCTTGTGGTGGAATGGGTGTCCTTGCGATCAGACTTGTCCTTGTACGTGTATGAATTTGCATTTTTTCTAATTTCTTCTGAGTGGCTGGGCTTTTCTCTCCCTCCACCCCTCTGTGCAGAAGGGCCTCTGCCGTTCTGGTTCTGGTTCTGTGCCTCATGCCGTGAGTACGAAGAATAGCCATAACCTGTTCTTGGCTGTTCGGTTCCTGCTTCTTTTGAAGCCCCAAATCTCTTGTTGCCCTTCTCATCAAAGATGTTCTTGGTGGTATCTTTGAAATGTCGAAAAGTGGACTTGACTGAATCTGAGAACTTCTTCAGATTTTCCTTCACAGCTTCTTTTGCCTGTTTGATTTTCTCTTTATGGTGCCTCACGAACTCCTTGGTAGAATTCTTCATAGCATCAAACGTCTCCTTGACTGTACCCAGGAACGTCTCCTTCGACTTGCTCTTAGCCCTCTGGTTTCCTTTGCTTCCTCTCTTCCTCCCTTCAGTCTCTGACTTCCCATTCTCATCTTTCGCCTCAACATACAGTCTTTCCCACAAGTCAGAGCGTTGCTGCTCGAAGGTTAGTTTCTGCTCCAACTCCGCGAGTCTCTGCTGTAACAGCACGACTTCCTTCTCTTCAGTCCGCACACCGGGACAATCTGCATGCTCCTGTGCCTGGCGAGGGACTAGCTGCTCGAGTTTTGCCCGCAGAGCCATAGCTGTCAGCTGTTCTCTCTCCAGGTTCCTCTTCAGCATCTTTGCTTCCTCTAACAGAGTCTCCCTTTCATTAACGAAACTCTTTGTTCTCTGTTTCTCCACTTCTAAGCACTCCTTAAGAACCTGGTTCTCCTTAACTAACTGGGTACTTGTGTCTTTATCCTCCAACAATCTGATATGCTGCCTGAGTTGCCTTAACTCTTCCTGCAGTGAAGACAGGGCTTTCTCCTTCTTCTCCAGAGATATTCGTAAATACTGGTTTTCTGCAGCAAGATTCTTTTTCTGGGTTTCAAAGGTAACCTCTCCCTCAGTACCGGTCCAACACCTCTCAAGGTTTTCTTTCAATGACTAGAAGGGTTTTTTTTTTTTTGAAAGAGAAGAGAAATGTCGTCAAGTCCTTGATAATTTAATATAAATCTTAATCTTATAACAACCATAACCTTTATTGCCCACATGTGTATGTACATAGGTATGTATATGAGCATGCACATAAATCCCCTGGGTGTGGTTAAACAGTATTAAAAATTGGGAAATAAATGCTAAATGCCACTTGTCATATATTCAAGAAGGCTTTTGTTCTTGAAAAAAAATGAAACTACAAGTATCACATGAACACTGATGAGGAGGGAGATTTCAAATAAGGACAAGCTAGGCAGAACTCAATCCATCTCTAATAGACTAAAGGGCTGAGTAGTTACTAGCAGACTCAAGGCCCCAGAGTCAATGTTCAGTGTTGCATACAGACACACCAGATCACACACATTCATACAAACACATCACCAGATTACACACACTCACACCACCAGATTACACACACTCATGCAGACACACCAGATTACACACACTCCTGCAGACACACCACCAGATTACATGCTCGTACAGATACACCAGATTACACACACTCATACAGGCACACCCACCAGATTACACACACTCATGCAGACACACGACCAGATTACACACATTTGTAAACTGGAAAAGTGAGGAAAACCCCTCCATCATATTATTACAGGAGCTGACCTGAAAGATGCCTACAGAATAAAGAGCTAAGATTTTTCTATTTATTCATTTATTTTGAGACAGGGTCTCTCAACATAGCCCTGGCTATCCTGGAACTAAGTAGACCAGGCTGGGCTTAAACTGTCTTAAACTTGATCTGTCTCTCAAGTGCTGAGATTAAAGGAGCAGGAAACCACACTTAACACTAAGACATTATAAAGTTAGCTGCATTTGCCTTCTGTGAGTAAACATGGATCAGTCATTAATATTCCGACTCAGTACCAATATGGATTGATACACATTCAGAAGGCAGCATGGTATGGTGGTACGTGCCTTTAATCTAGCACTGGGGTGGCTGGAAATAAGTCAGAGTCTCGTGGAAACATCTCTGTATATAGTAATAGAATTTTACATGTGAAAACATCTAACTGAAATAGTTGTTTCACTAACTCATTGCTCTCAGAAAAGCAAAGCAAGACTTAAAACTAGTTTGCAAGATGGTCCAGTTGCCAGCTGCCAACAGCTGATTCCTGTTGCTAGACTGATGACCTAAAGTGGACTCCCTAGCACCCAAATCACAAAACTGACTCCTGTGGTTGTTTTCTGATTTGTGCCATGCATGCAAAGCACTCAAGCACTCGTGCACACACACACACGTCCATTTTAAAAGATCTCTGAAGTGAGATTCTTGGAATCCAATTAGGTCTGCTAGCCTTGCAAAGTACTTCGTCTACCTGAAACAGACTGCTTCACTCACAAGAAGGCCACATGATACACACCAATGGAACAGGTATAAAAATACTCTACAACTATCAACATTATTTTTATTACATTTACTTGTGTGTTTTAGAGTCTGTCTGTAGATCAGAGAACAACCTGTGGCTGTGGGGAGTCTGTACTCTCCTTCTACCAAGTGAGGCCTGGGGATGGAACTCAGTCAGTCAGGCCTGGTAACGAGCAGGTAACTGCTGAGCCAACACGCTCGGCCCAATTATTGATTGATTGATCCATACTGTAACCTCACCTAAGTCACTTAACTGCTGGCTTCTGCTTTTTTTTTTCCTTTTCAGCTTTCTGAGGCGGGTGTTGCTAAATAGACCAGGCTAGTCTTGAACTTGGCCTGATTTCATACTGCCTCAGTCCTCAAGTGCTAGGATAGGGTTACTGTGTGTGTGCCCCGCACACATAGCTCAAACAATTATTTCTACAGGTTATTTCTCAATGTTTAATTACTACTCACCTTGAAATCTAGGAAAGACTCTGGTTCCTGCTGGCATTGTGAGAGGTAACCTTTCCCGCCAATCAGCTCGTCTGTGTGTATCTTCCTGACTGACTGCTCACGCTTCTGAGTCTGAATTGTGCCTGAAATGGAAAACCATCAGGTGTAAATAGCATGACAGCCACTACTCAAAACTGCATGAAGCGTTCAATCTACACTAGCTATTTAACGTGGGAAAGGGCATTGTTTTCTTTAAAAACCATGGTGTCACTCATCACATGGCAGTGGGTGTGAAAGCTCAGGCCAAGCAGATTAATAATGTATGTTAACTCAGTCAGCACGTACAGGAACATCTATTGTTAACCCAGTCAGCACACACATGAACATTTAAGCACTTCACTGCCCTTCTAAAGAAAAACATGGGCCACTCTAACAATGACAACAACAAAAGTTCTCATCTTGTTATACTGAAGGTGCTCAGCTTTTCATAGGGAACTGTGAAAGTGTTTCAAACCTATTTAAACAGAGAAATAAGCCATCAGTGGATTTCTTTTCCTACAGATTAAGAGTCAAAGAAAAATGAAAAAATATATATCTTAATAATTTGCCTATAGGATATATGAAGTCTAATTACAAACACCTACTATTCTCAAATTTGTCTTTTTTGTTTGTTTTTCAAGACAGGGTTTCTTGTTGTAGCTCTGGAAACTGTCCTGGAACTAGCTCTGTAGACCAGGCTAGCCTAAAATTTATGGTGATCCGCCTGCCTCTGCCTCCTTCCCAAGTGCTGGGATCAAAAGGTGTGCACCACCAGTGCCTGGTGAGTCAGGATCTTAAGTCATCCAGAATGGAATTCAACCCCCTATTTAGCGGAAGACGATCTTGAACTACTGATTCTCCTCCCTCTACCTGTATGAGTTGGCCCCCCCCCATGTGGCTTTCAGGGACCAAACTCGGGTATCAGGCTTGGAAGTAAGTACCCTTATTCACTGAGTCATCTTGCTGGCCCTCAAAGCCAACTCTTTTAAGAACTCGGCCATAGGACAGGGGCTGTATGTAGCTTGGTGGAAGAGCCTCTAGCTACCATCCATAAAGCCCTCAGTTTACTACCCAGTTCCTGGACAATTCCTTCTTATTTGACCTTAAATTCAAATGCTTTTTTTTTTTTTTTGCCAAGACAAGCTGTTTGCAAGTTCCTCCTACATGTGTCACACACAAGACAATATACCACTAAACCAAAAGGCACATCTGGCAGCTAACATACACAGTGGACATGTCACTACATACAGAAATTTAAACAAACAATCCATTTTAATTCGTTCTACAGATCTTGGAACCCATTTCTGAACATCACTCAATACAGGAGTGAAGATTCGACTCGGTGGTAGAGGGTCTAGCACAACATCTAGCTACTTCACTAATTAGCAGGGCTCTTCCTCTTGGAAACCCTCTACTTCAATGGGAAGCAGCTAGCATACCTCCTGAACTTTGACAGACTACCAATGCATAAAACCAGGTTGGAACCCTCACTGTACTAACCACCTTCAAGCCCCCTTCAGTCTAACAACAAGGCCTTCAGCACCAGTATATGGATTACTAACCTCTAAGCAGTTCCAGCTGACCTCTGACTTCTTGTATTTTACTTTTCTTCTCTGCATTTTGTTACTGTTGTTTTGGTTTGGTTTTAAATATTTATTTAATATGTATACAG